ACACCAACCCCCGCCAATTCTACCAGCACTCCCATAACCCACACTCTCTCCACCTGGTTGGAAGAACTCACTCCGGAGTCCATTCCCGTCGAAGTTCGCGAACGAGCCAAATACCTCATTCTCGATGGATTAGCCTGCGCTCTACTGGGTGCACGACTCCCCTGGTCCGTCAAGGCGCATGATGCTATCACTACCATTGAGGGACAGGGGAAATGTACCGTAATCGGATGGAACGAGGTATTTCATTCCAGTCTAATCAAAATTCCCTTGCCCAAACATATGAGTCAAGGACAAGAAACTAATGAGACTGATAGACCCTTTCCCCCAATGCCGCCGCCCTCCTTAACAGCACCTTCCTCCAAGGCTTCGACCTTGACGACATCCACGTCGAGGCCCCCATACACACCATGTCCGTCATCCTCCCAGCGATCCTCGCAGCTGCAGAGCAGGAGCATGGCGGCTCGACTCGCCCTATCAGCGGGAATGACTTCATAACCGCCACAGTCGCTGGCTGCGAAACTGGCCCTCGCGTCGGCTACGCCCTGGGTGGAACGCACATGCTCACCATTGGATGGCATTGCGGAGCCATCTTCGGTCCTGCTGCCTCCGCAGCAGCCGTTTCCAAGCTCCTGAATCTTCCCGCCGCGCAGATTGAAGATGCACTGGGCATGGCGTGCACGCAGGCCTGCGGGCTCATGTCGGCGCAGTTTGAGAGCATGGTGAAGCGCATGCAGCATGGGTTTGCATCGCGGAGCGGAGTACTCGCCACGTATTTGGCGAAGCAGGGGTTTACGGGGATCAAGGAGATCTTTGATCGCGAGTATGGTGGGTTCTTGAAGATGTTTTCGTACGGGGCGGAGACGGAGCGCAAGTATTACCCGGAGGAGGTCTGCAAGGGATTAGGGGAAGTGTGGCAGACCAAGAAGATCAAGCAGAAGTTGCATGCGCTGTGCGCGGTGTCGCATTGTACGGTGGATTGTATTAAGGACCTGCAGGCCATGTATCCTGCGAAGATGGGTGAGTGGAAGAAAATCGTCAAGATTGAGGCGGAGATGGCGAGGGCCGCGATGAAGAAGGGTGGCTGGGCACCGGAGAAGCCAGCTACCGCCACGGCGGCGCAGATGAGTATACCGTATGCGGTGGCGTTGCAGGTTCTGGATGGGGAGATTGTGCCCGGGCAGTTTGCGCCGGGCATGTTGAATCGGGAGGAGTTATGGGATGTGATTAGGCTGGTGGAATGTCGGGAGGCCAAGGAGCTGGATAATACGTGGGCGCAGAGGGTCAAGATCACGTTTGAGGATGGGGAGGTGGTGGAGAAGTTGTTGAAGGCGCCGAAGGGAGTCCATCCTGGGGTGACGAATGAGGAGGTGTTGCAGAAGTGGCGGGCTGTGACGAAGGGGGTAATTTCGGAAGAGAGGCAGAAGAAGATCGAGGAGGTGGTGTTGAATTTGGAAGAGGTGGAGGATGTGGCTGGTGTTTTGGGCGAGTTATTGAGGGGCGAGACGGTGAATGTGCTGCAGTAGACGATTACCCCATTTGGACGGGGATGGCTTCATATTTCCCAAGCGATGTCACGCCATAGAAAGGGCACATTTACCCGGTGCCTGAGCGAAACTCTACCCGGTGCCTGAGCGAAACTCTACTTCGAAGAACGATGCCAATGTTTAACTATCTTGTTTTAATTGCTAAATGCAAGCATTCCAAGTTCTTCCTAATGCCGGCTAAATCATTCAGGCTAAACCCCCGCGATGAAGTCAATCGGTCATTCTCCGGCGCATCTCCGCATCTCCGCAAACCGCTATAAAATCTACCCCAGATTCAGTCCCCGGCCACCTTTCTATCCCCCCACAGACTGGCTCAACCATGGCGCACTCAATGTCTCGTCCCGTGGCTGCCACTGCCGCTGCTCTGCTGGCTCTGGCTCTTCCTCAAGCTCTTGCCCAGGCCAACACCAGCTACGTCGACTACAACATCGAAGCCAACCCGGACTTGTATCCTTTGTGCATAGAAACCATCCCACTGAGCTTCCCCGACTGCCAGAATGGTCCGCTGCGCAGCCATCTCATCTGTGATGAAACAGCCACCCCCTATGACCGAGCAGCATCGCTCATCTCGCTCTTCACCCTGGACGAGCTGATCGCCAACACCGGCAACACCGGCCTCGGTGTCTCCCGACTGGGCCTCCCTGCATACCAAGTATGGAGTGAAGCGCTTCATGGCCTCGACCGTGCCAATTTCAGCGACTCAGGAGCCTACAATTGGGCCACCTCATTCCCCCAGCCCATCCTGACCACCGCGGCCCTCAACCGCACCCTCATCCACCAAATCGCCTCCATCATCTCCACCCAAGGCCGCGCCTTCAACAACGCCGGCCGCTACGGCCTCGACGTCTACGCCCCCAACATCAACACCTTCCGCCACCCCGTCTGGGGTCGCGGACAAGAAACCCCAGGAGAGGACGTCTCTCTCGCCGCCGTCTACGCCTACGAATACATCACCGGCATCCAGGGTCCCGACCCAGAGTCAAACCTCAAACTCGCCGCCACGGCCAAGCACTACGCCGGCTATGACATCGAGAACTGGCACAACCACTCCCGCCTGGGCAACGACATGAACATCACCCAGCAAGACCTCTCCGAATACTACACGCCCCAATTCCACGTCGCCGCCCGCGACGCCAAAGTCCAGAGTGTCATGTGCGCCTATAACGCCGTCAACGGCGTCCCTGCCTGCGCCGACTCCTACTTTCTCCAGACCCTCCTCCGCGACACCTTCGGATTTGTCGACCACGGATACGTCTCCAGCGACTGCGATGCCGCCTATAACATCTACAACCCCCACGGCTATGCCTCCTCCCAGGCTGCCGCTGCCGCTGAGGCCATCCTCGCCGGCACCGACATCGACTGCGGTACCACCTACCAATGGCACCTGAACGAGTCCATCGCTGCGGGAGATCTCTCTCGCGATGATATTGAGCAGGGTGTGATTCGTCTCTACACGACCCTCGTGCAGGCCGGATACTTCGACTCCAACACCACAAAGGCGAACAACCCCTACCGCGACCTCTCCTGGTCCGACGTCCTTGAGACGGACGCATGGAACATCTCCTACCAAGCCGCGACGCAGGGCATTGTCCTTCTCAAGAACTCCAACAACGTCCTTCCCCTCACCGAGAAAGCTTACCCACCATCCAACACCACCGTCGCCCTCATCGGTCCCTGGGCCAACGCCACCACCCAACTCCTGGGCAACTACTACGGCAACGCTCCCTACATGATCAGCCCCCGCGCCGCCTTCGAAGAAGCCGGATACAAAGTCAACTTCGCCGAGGGCACCGGTATCTCCTCCACAAGCACCTCGGGCTTCGCTGCCGCCTTATCCGCCGCACAATCCGCCGACGTGATCATCTACGCCGGTGGTATCGACAATACCCTTGAAGCGGAGGCACTGGATCGAGAGAGTATCGCGTGGCCGGGTAACCAACTGGACTTGATTCAGAAGCTCGCCTCGGCGGCCGGAAAGAAGCCGCTCATCGTCCTCCAAATGGGCGGCGGACAGGTCGATTCCTCTTCGCTCAAGAACAACACCAATGTTTCTGCACTTCTCTGGGGCGGATACCCCGGCCAATCTGGCGGCTTCGCTTTGCGGGATATCATCACGGGGAAGAAGAACCCCGCGGGCAGACTAGTCACGACGCAGTACCCTGCCAGCTACGCGGAGGAGTTCCCGGCGACAGATATGAACCTTCGTCCTGAGGGTGATAACCCTGGTCAGACGTATAAATGGTACACCGGCGAAGCCGTGTACGAGTTCGGCCACGGGTTATTCTACACCACCTTCGCGGAATCCTCCAGCAACACCACTACGAAGGAAGTCAAACTCAACATCCAGGATATCCTGTCCCAGACACACGAAGAGCTAGCCTCAATTACCCAGCTCCCTGTGCTGAACTTCACTGCCAATATCAAGAACACTGGAAAGCTGGAATCGGATTACACCGCTATGGTCTTCGCCAATACCTCTGATGCCGGTCCGGCGCCGTATCCCAAGAAGTGGCTGGTCGGGTGGGATCGCCTTGGGGAGGTGAAGGTTGGGGAGACGAGGGAGTTGAGGGTCCCCGTTGAGGTGGGGAGCTTTGCGAGGGTGAATGAAGATGGTGATTGGGTGTTGTTTCCGGGGACGTTTGAGTTGGCGTTGAATTTGGAGAGGAAGGTTAGGGTGAAGGTTGTTCTTGAGGGTGAGGAGGAAGTCGTGCTGAAGTGGCCGGGGAAGGAGTAGAAAGTCCTATTCTGTTGATGGCTCTAGGGGATGAGAGCCAGTCTATTACTGAATATGCATAGTGGTGATACGATGTATATAGCTCTATGAAGTAATTAGTCCATGTGAGAATACCCTTCAGTCCACAATTAGTATGCTGTTATTCGTAAATGGTGATTATTTCTGATTTATAGTAACGGTAGCGATGGTCACACACAACTTAATGTTCCCTGGTGTACAGGAGGTAGCAATTCTAATGACCACTTGGAAGAAAGACAGCAAGAAAGAGTAAGAAAGGGAAATTGATCAAAAAATAAGGCCATCTACAGCCTATTCACATTTAGTCGGATCTGCAGTACGAAAGCAAATATAGAGTTTATTAGGAGCGAGTCCTGCTAAGACCTAGTTTACTAATCAACCTCTAGTCTCTCCCCTGATAGATTTCCCACCCGTTATTCTAGAAGCCAAGTAACTTATAGATTCATTCTTCTCCTTATCATCTTACTAAATTTACCGAGGAGTCTGGAGTCTGAGCTTGAATCTGGCTTCTTTTCAGCAGATAGATTTTCATGTTCCACTTTAGCTCGACTCAAACGAACCTCTGTGAATACAAGAAAACAAAACAAATCAAAAATCAAAATCAAAATAAATAAATAACATCAATTCTTCAAATGCATACAGACTGCATAGCAGAAAGAAGAGGGACAACGATAGCGTTCCCAGCGTCCCCTGGAGAGAAATCTTCACCAATTACTCTTAGCATAGAAAGTCAACAAAGGCCTAGGACCAGGGTTCGTCCGACTCAAAAGAAGCAAGTCCTTCGTTTGCATTCTCCCCACATAGACATGATCGGCTGAAACTTCCTCTACCGGGAGTTCAAATGCCCAGAAGACGCTTTCTTCCTGGTAGCCATCGGATACTCGCTGGCCGCTTAGGCATATGAATGATGAGTCTCTCCTTCCAAAGGAGATAACCGTATTGCCGAACCCAGTGTCAAAGTCGTATGTTTGGAACTTGAAGAGGGTTCGGGCGTTTCCGAGGAGAGTGGGTAGTGCAACTGTGGATGTGATATATATAACTTAGTTTCTTCCATGTCTCAAAGCTGGTTGCTAGGGAAGGGGGTGGGCGGGCTTTGGGGCCGCTTACTGTCACTGAAGCTGCCGTTGTCGAGGGTTCTTTCTTGAGCTATCATTGTAACTGTTTTGATAGCCAGCTTTTCATTTCGGAGATGAATTAGTAGCCGGGATCAGAAGTGATCTGGTCGGTCTATTGTTAACTTACTAGGACTATTTTCTTATACTCCGTTGGGTAGGGGTATGAAAGTGGTGTGTTCACTTCCTCCGGGTTTTCGTTGATTGCTTGGACCTGTTGTTATCTCGGTCAGTACTCATAATAGCTCGGATTGTCTTTATGGACGTGCAGACTCACTTTGGACCGGATCAATGTAAGTATGTTCGTGCCTTCCTCATACAGCTCGGCCTGTTGCTCTCTGCCGTTGTTGAACTTTTGGACTGGAACTAGATCATCCAAGTATGATTAGTAGATCATCCCCAAGCGCTGATTCATCTGCAGGCCATACTCTTCCTGACAAGCTCAATGTATGCATCGTACTGTGTGAAGTCTTCAAAGAGGTACCAGCTCTGACGCCTGTTAGTCGCATTCCGTGATCAAACTGGCAGCAGATGCCTTACCCTCTGGTTGGCGACAGTGTAGTCAAAAGGGGTGAATGCACTGTTGAAATTCGGGACGTTGGTGTATTTCCACAGGAGTGCACTACCTCAAACGTCAAAATCTCTTCCAGCCGAAGAAGAGTAGAGAAAGGAGGAAGCGAAGCGAACTCACAATCGTCTGTATCTATGCTTGCCCTCCCTCAACTCCTGGTAGAAATTATCCGCGCCTTCCTTGATCTCCAAGAGTGGTGAGTCGTCACTGTCGTGAGGTTCTGCATGGATTTTCCCAGCCCGACCCCCGCCTCCAGAAGTATGGATCCAGACAGTAACACGGGAATGTCTGTTGATTGTCTCCACGGCCTTTTTCACTTCGTCTGTGACGGTCCCGGAGACCCCGTACATCGAGAAAGCAACCTCGGCTCTAGCTACATTGTTAGGCAATAGAATTTTAAGCCGGAAGGGCTCAGCGTGGTAACTTACGCCTGTTTGACCTCTTCACTGGTGGATTGGTTGACCGCGGTAATGGAGACGCGGGCAAAGTACTGACCACCTCGGATGAAGTCTAACCATGGGAGCATATTAGCATCTACTACCAATGGCCAGAAGAGTATAGATTGTAAGTACTATCTTACCTGCAATGAAACGATCTCCATACAAGGTGTTCGGGGTATCGGTGCTGATCTGATTGAAAGTATACGTATTCCCAATCGATGCTTGCTGCCTGGATGATACCTGAACTTGATAAGTCACCGTGCTGCTTTCAAAACTGTAGATTCGTTAGCCAATCTTGACCCTCAAGACAAGGAGACAGGACAGATCCACTCACCTTAGCCGGTCAAGGTAGCTAGCGTCGATCTGAGACAACTGCCCCCAGCCTGAAATAGCAGCGCCAGCGGTTATCTCCAAGGACCGCGCAAGTTTACTGGATAAGAAGTAAACAGAACATAAGTCAGCATATACACTGTGAACGAAGGATCCGGGTGTGCGGACGTATAGTCGTCGATTCTTTCGCTCCAATAGAAGAGGTCGTAAGTTTCGGACTCTGACGGACCAGAGGTGACAGTGACAGCGTCAGCGAGACCAATTTGCTGAAGGTAGGTATTGTATCTAGATGAAGGAGGATCATCCAGCGCGTTAGCGGGGACCGCAATTGTAATTCAGAGGAGAAAAGGAATTGGGCATACCCCTGCCCTTGCTGCATCCCATCGAAATACGGAACAAGTTCGGCCATCTTGGACTATCAGGTTGCTCTAACCACGTAGTACAGTATGAGAATTGTGGAAGATGACTGTGAGAGTGACTGGTAAGTTGAAGCACATATCGACCAGATTCCGCTGTCTTTTATATGCTCAACCACGGCTGTGCGAGCAAGTCTCTTCTCTATCCAGAAATCGCGTCATTCAAAGCAGATCCCGATAGAATGGCCTCAAATGAGTAATTTCGCGGTGGCTATCTACAACAGGTAGTTCTTTGTATGAGGCATTTTCTCTCGAGGAGGAGTCGAATGACAACAATTACTGTACATTTAGCGGAGCAAAGGCCATGGGGAGATCACGACTGCAGTTGTGTCAAGGATCCGAAGAGTCTAGAGCGTAACTAATCAAGTTGGTGTGTAGACTCGCAGTTGAGGTCTGGGTTGTCATCGGTGACCCCGAAGGGACCCCTGGAACGAATGCTGGGTTCTGTTGCATGAAGCGGGGGTATAATCTCAATGAATTAACTAATGGATCAATTGAAGTGATCAAGAAAGCATTCGGGGGAAAATGGACCTGCCTGTCTTCAATATGCTATCTGTCGACTTTGACTGACTCGGGGTCTGCTTTTTACGCGCTATAATTCACCCCCCGGTTCTTGTAGTGGCAAATGCAGGCCAGAGATGCATGAGCCGAATGAACACCACCGCAACAACCCCTTCCCCTCTTCTGTGATAGCTGAGCTTGCCTTTAGCTCGAGATTATATCCCGGATTGACTGTGCTGTAGGGTTACATCGTCGGAGAAAATCATGCAATGTCCTGCCTGGCTTATTATGTTGTTCTCCGGTGGGACAAAGTACAGGGAGACTCGGCAGCTCTGAATGGAAGAAGACGAGCTGCACGAGCACCTGCTACGTCTGCTGTTGTACGTAATGCGAGTGTTTAGCAAAATCCAGAATCTAGAACATAATGGTGCAGACAGGTGAACAGGCAGCTGCGGAGTGATTCCGCATTCTAAGCTGGAGAGGATGATGGACAGTGATGATGGTGATCATCGGAGATGACAGACCTCCACAGCCATCGGAACGATATAAAAGGCCAGATAATTCCCAGGACAGATGCCGTCAATCAGAAGCAATCTCTCCGCAGTTCATACCATCTCTCCCAAGATATTTTCAGTTGTTTCTACCTCAGACTTATATCCTACCTTCATCTCCCAACAAACATGGCTGATAGAGCAGAAGCCCAATGGATCCATGTCCGTGTCGTCAATTCCATGTCCTACGATACCCTGAAAGTCAAAGATACCTGGCTCAAGTGGTAAGTACAAGGGAGAAATCAATTTATCCAAATCCCACTCGGCTTCTTTGATTAACACCTCCTCAGGGGCAAGTTCCATAAGGAAGGCAACAAGAGCGCCGAAATCTCCGTCTCCGACATCAACGCTCTCACAGCAGCTCCAGGCGGTTCCTTCAACGTCTACGCGTGCGGCAGAGCAAACGCATCTTCTGGCACGGAGGGAAGCTTCGATGTGTATAATGGAAATGTCCGAGTCGCCTACATCTACTGGGACTGTCCTTGGGGCTCAAAGACCAACAAGTTCCGCGCCGATGTGATCGCCGACAATTATCGGGTGGAGACGGGGTACTGGAATTCGTACGGCGGTGCTATCGGCTCTGTGACTGTTGAGATTGTAAGCAGAGATCGTGTAACCCGATCCAGTCTTTGAGTGTTGGTTGGCATGAGATCGACAGGGTTTTCGTTCCCCCGCTCATCGGGATCTGCTCTGCATTAGCGCTGGGAGATAGGGCAGGTGGGATTTGACGCTCAAGCTGCTCGGTCCACTGACAGATAGTTTAGTTGATAGTATGTTCTATATTATCGGAGAGATATATTATGATGTTGCTTGATGTTTCTGCATATTTAATTTGTAATGGATATGCCGTAGCACCTCTTCTGTCTATACCGGTAACTGCCTGAGAAGACTAACAAGGTGTATTTGGGTATAGGGGCATTTGCTCAACCACCAACAAATTGAGACAAATTCATGTACCCCAACAAATACAACAATCACCATATTGAGGCAGATGATCTCCCAATCAGGCCAAAAATAGTGTAAAAAAACAAAAACGACGACAGTCGGATTTGAACCGACGCCTCCGAAGAGAATAGATTTCTAGTCTATCGCCTTAGACCGCTCGGCCATATCGTCTTATATAATGAATGTCCACAAATATGCTATAAGAGACAGTCCATCAATGAATGCAACATTATGTCTTATCATAAATCATTGCTGCCATATTCATACTAATCATATACATCTATGCACTATTTACTCTCCATCATTGCGATCAGTTCCTCATACTCGCCCGTATTCCGCACCATTTCCCAGAATACGCCCTTTTTCGCGACCAGTCGCGCCGGTGAATCATTCCTATTAGTACCCAGTTAGCTCAGTTTTTCATGATAATTAATGAGGGAATGAGGGATTAGCATGACGCACTCGATAATCTCCCCATCCGCCATCACCAACACCCGATCATAGTCCATAATCGTCCTCAGCCGATGCGCAATCGCTATGATCGTGCAGTCTGCAAACATCGTTCGCAATACCTTTTGCATATGCGAATCGGTTTCGTGATCCACCGACGCCGTCGCCTCATCCAGCAACACCACCTTCGATCGCCGACACATGGCCCGCGCCAGGCTCAGTACCTGTCGCTGACCCTGGCTAAAGTTCTCTCCGTTCGCAGCAACCGGCGTATCCAGCGCCAGCGGCCGCATTGTCCTACTCTCGCCCTCGCCTTCGCCGGGGACATGGACCGTAGTGCATGCCGACAGCGCCGCACGCAGCTCGGTCTCGCTGGACTCGCCAAACGGGTCGAGATTGGACTGCACGTCGCCGGAGAAGAGCACCGGCTCTTGCGGAATCAGCGTCACGTTAGTGCGTAGCCGGTTCAGACGGATCTGGTTAATGTTGACTCCATCGATGGTTACGCTGCCGTCGACGATGTCGACGAAGCGGAGCAGTGATAGCCCCAGGGTGGATTTGCCGCTGCCGGTCCGGCCGACGATGCCGACGCGCTCGCCTGGGTGCGCGACGAAGGATACTTTGCGGAGGACGTCAGGCCCGTCAGATTGGTAGCGGGCAGTGACGTTGGTGAATTCGACTCGGCCGGAAGTCGGCCAGCTGGCGGGTAGAGCATCGGCTTTACGTTGCTCTGCGGTTTCTAGCTTCTCCTCTGGTTCGATGTCGCCGTATTCTGTCATGCGCTGGAAGGAGTTCAGCTCCACCTCGAGCTCGTTAAGCGTCCGGACTAGTGTCAGAATGGTCTGGCTGAGGCCGATGGCGTTCGTCAGGGAAAATCCCACCAGACCTGCTGATCCAGACCAGAAGTATGCTACGCAGCCGGCTGCGGCTGCCACGGAAGCGGCGCAAAAGTCTGTCCGCACCGAGACCCAGCGGTTGCAGTTGTATTGCGCCTCGGATGAGCGGGCGTGAACTGCCAACTTCTCGGCCAGCAGGTTCTGGAACACCTGGTCCATGCCGTGTCGAGCCCGGATCACGCTCAGTCCTGACAGGGAGTCGGTAAAGTGGGAGAAAACAGGGGAGTAATTGATGGAGGTCAGCCGCTTGATTGATACTTGAGCGCGCGTGTACATTTCTCCAATGACGAACCCTGCAGCGCAGATAACGGCTGCAGGGAGAGCGAAGATGGGCATGATGGAAGCGACACTGGCAATCCGAAGCAGGAAGCGTAGAGTGTTCTCGATCGACATGCGCAGCCACTCAACAAGAACAGTGTCTAACGACCGGGTATCATTTCCGAACCGGTTAATGGCGCGCCCGATCGGATTCTGATCGAACCAGGCAATCGGTGCAGACAGCACGGCCGTCACCAGCCGGTGGTGTGTCTTCTTGGCAGCCACCCAGCTGCCGTACTGATAGATGAGATTGTTGCACAACTGCAAAGTCAGAAAAGTGATGATGCACGCTGCGTATATCCCCAGGTAGAACAATGTGTTGGGGTGCTCGTATTTGTCGTACGCCCCGGTCCAGATGGACAGCCAGTACGTTATGGCAAAGTAGGCAAACTGCACGGAGATGGTTGCAATCACGACCAGCGGGACATAGGAAGCGCCACCGAATAACATCATATAACGTAGCGCTGATATGTTAGCAATGCTCGAAGCCATCTAAGTCATCAGGTTCTTACCTAGCGTGCGAGGCACTCGTCCCGTGGCAGACGTCTCCTTCGCTATGCGTTCCTCTGCGGGCGGTTGCTTGCCACCAGCGGCAATTGGTGGAGACTCCGACGGGGATTCCAGAGCTTCCTCTACCACGCGCGCATTGCTCTCTGACACCGAAGAGTCCGTGTCAGTGCCCGGTGTGGTGCATCTGGACGACATCAGAGACAGCGTAGTCTTGGAGATAGCCCGAGCGGGGACAATCCTGCCATGCTCCAAGCGGATTACCAAGTCGGCGTCCTGCAACGCAGCTGGATAATGGGTTATTAATACAACCGTGCGGTTCTTGAGCAACCCGCTGCGGAAGCACTTCTCATAGACGAGACTGGTGGTGTGGGTGTCGAGTGCGGAGAAGATGTCATCAAACAGCAGCGTATTGGACGGCGAATACAGCGCCCTTGCCAAAGACACTCGCTGCTTTTGACCGCCGGAAAGTGAGGTTCCTCGCTCTCCAACCATGGTTAGATCGCCTGCCGGAAGCTGTTGCAGGTCTTGGGTCAGACCACTGGCTTCGATGGCCATGGCATAGCGGGCTTCATCGAACGGGCTATAGAAGACGATGTTCTGACGGATTGTGTCGTTCTGAAGCCACGGTGCCTGTGGAACGTACGCTACATCGCGCGGGCAAGTAGCAGTTCCAGATTCCAACACAGTCTCGCCCAGAAATGACAAGAGCAGCGATGTCTTTCCGCAGCCAGTAGGCCCCGTCACCACATTAAGAGCGTTGGACTTAAAGCGGAGAGTGATATCCTGCAGCCGGAAGGCAGCAATTGGGGTGCGTCGGAAGGTTGCTTCCTTGAATTCCAATGGGCCGTCTGGATGCCGCTTGATCTCACTAGCAGTGTCAAAGAAGCGGTCGACACGGCGCAGCGACTCTGATCCTTGCGCGGTATAGCGGCTGATGTTGGACAACCAGATAAATTGAACGCGCAACGTTTCCATAATAGACAAGGAAGTGAAGGCAATGGGTGCTCGCAAAGGAAGATCAGTAAACAATATATACACAGTAAACATGACTAAAAGACTGAGCAGCGGCAGCAGCTCGCCGCCCATAGAGATCAGGGCCACAAACACGCTGCGTCTCCACAGATGGCGCTGCTCGACACGGCGAACGTCGTTAATGTTGCTCATCGCGGCATGCTCCCACCCAAAGTATTTCAACGTGCGGATAGACCCTAGATACTCAGAGATCTTGGACAGCCGAGCATCCGTAGCCTGCATAACGGTGCGTTGGATGCGGGATACTTTCCGAGACGCCAGTGCAGGAAGCGGAGACAAACACAGCAGCATGAGAACACCAAACAGCGACGGCCATCCTAGCATCTGATACAGAAACACCAGAGCCAGAGTAGTCGAGATTGGACCTGCAGTGGCTATATAGAAGATATCACGAGAGTTGTAGATAGCGTCAACATCGTAAGACATCAAGCTGGTCAGATTGGCCTGGCTTGACTTGGAGGCACCCTTGGACTCGGCCCGGTGCCGCGACTTGGCATGCTTGCCTGAAGAGTGGCCCACAGAATCATCGTAGATGTACGACCGCATCGCGGTCTGATAAAGCTCCTGGACGAGTGACACATTCACCCGAACCAGGAGCCGGGTTGCGGTGAAGATATACTGCTGGTAGCAAAGCGAGCGCGTCGCTGGACCAGCAAACAGAAGCGCAATCCACAATGCAGGATGGAGCACTGCACTGCTGGGGTTCTCCAGATAGGCCAATAGCCGCAACATGGAGTACGGCGCAAGGAAGTCCACCACCGCCGTAAGGGCTGCCCAAAACATCATGGTTTTTATTTCCGTCTTGAGCATGCGGCACAGCGTGCGAAAGGTCTTGCCACCTTTTAGCCGCTGCTTCTTGATCTTTTCTAGCCACTTCAATGGCTCATCGTATGACGGCAATGGAGGCAGATCATCCAAGGTTAGATCCCTCTGGCAGCCTCGCAGGATCACATGGGTGATCCACTCATACGAGCAGTAGTAGGAAAAGAGGGAGCATGTTTCTTCCGGAGAAGCTTTCTCTTCGACCACTAGGTCATCCGTCTCTGCGTTACGAACAACTGAGCGTCGTGGGCGTGGCGTAGCCGCTGCAATTGCCACAACCGCAGCCAGACAGGCCACGATAGCAACTCCCACAGAGGTTGGCCTATAGGTAGCTCCGATCACCATCATGGGTACTATATCCTGAACCACTGCCAAAATGAGAGCCGTTGTCGCCAAGGCATTCATATGCCAATACATATGGCGTCGATGGCCATAGCTCTTAATGCAGAGCCGGCCAATACCCAGCAATACCACATAGGTCAACAGAGCAGACCGCTTCCAACTCTTACCATTGTGTACGTCGACCCAGGCCAGACAACAAGCCGCTATCGCAACAGCCAGATGTGCAAACGCGAAGGGCAGAGATACCACGATTTCGGACTGATCATGCGGGGTAGTCTTCGGCGATCGTGATTTATCCCGGTAGACACGGATGTAGCGCAAACATAACGACAACAGCACTACAATGCATGATGCTAGTATCGCCGCCAGGTGAAGGTAGCCGGATCCAACAAAAGTTGACGCTTTCCGAGTCCGATACTGCCATATTTCCCTAGAGCAGCTATCAGTTAGCCGTGCCATTATCCACGGGTCTTCCTTCTCATGAACCCACCTCTGCACCAGACCAGGGTCCGGAGTATAAGCTATCTCGCCAGCGCCGCCTTGAATTGCTAAAGGCACCACGGCCGCGGGCACGATGGTCACGAGATGCTCCATCGTTCAAATTGTAGTCTGCGACGAACAGACAAGCTCACTCATGGGCTGTTCGCGCTTTCGTCATAACCAAATGAGAGCTCTCTGGAAACTGCCCGACAGCATTGGAGATCGGCGAGGGTGGGGGAGGCAGTTATAGAGCACGGGTCAAAAGGACACTACCCATTGTCTAAAGACTCCGGTAGTGAGAGGCTGGACAGAAGCCGCAGGTGCAAGCGAGGGGCCGGGAAATTGGAGCAGCCGGAGGAAGCGGTATTAAGAGCAGGGAATAATTTGACGGTCATATTGCCGATAGCGGTGGACCTTCAATCTTTGGATCGGACGAATTCTGCCCCGGATCGATCCTTGGATCGCCTCGAGCAAATCCATCTGATAACATGCAGCTGAGTCAGGATGATCGCCTGAGGCAGTCATTCTTTCATTATCAATCTGTGTCGGTCCCATTCTTGCTGCCAGCACATATGGACAGTATCAGGGCAACTGCAATACTTTCTCAACGATCTGGTATTGTCTAGCGGCATACTCCGTATCTGACGCAGGATCCATTGACAAGCTTCGGCGAATATCACATCATCCACTCTCTCACTGGCTGTGGAATCAGCACTAACCCCCCCACTTTCATCGCTTAGCGTGTCATCCGCAATAGCCACCGCCTGATAACGATAGGGAAGAGGGCCGATGCGCTTTCCTCGGATTATAGGAGGCTTAGCAGACCTTATCAAATAATAAAGCAACCAGATTGTAAGGCATTCATGGTCCCTGAATAATCGCGTGAAGACCGAGGTAACCTATCGGACTGGTGCCCTTGATGCCTTTTAATCATGGTGTCAATGAAGCCCTTCCGTAAGAAGATCTTCCCATTCTTTTGCTGTGATGCGCGATTAATGGTGAACAGGCGGAGTCTCCTACCCCGCATTGAGTCACCCACGAGATTTGAACACTTTTGACATATCCTAATGTAAAAATATGATTTCCTAAAAGAAACAAATATCATCCATCTTACACGTACTTTTGCCTATAATCGAGTCTCCCAATTAGGAAAATAAGTGTGGTGTCTGGCTGCAGCCTCCCGCTAATCAGTCCCTTTCCGACCTTCCCGCCTTATGACTCAAACTTCAGTGCACGGATACGTTAATTGATCAATTAACTACATCCAAGTTACCACAGCTCAACCCATAGTGTCATTCCATGTGCATGAATATTATCCAATCATAATCATCAATACCAAGATGTCAGTCATCGAGCTTGGTGACTCTATACCATCGCTCACATCCCATGTAAGTAATCCGTTCATGCAGATATTTGCATTCGTGCTTGTCAGTCAACCACGCTTACGCTTTCACAGGCTGTGAGCGTGTCCTTGCCAACATGGGCGGACAATGTAGGTTACGAGGAGGGTGACAAGCGAGTCGTAGACAAAATGTCAACGGGTTATCCACGGTACAGTTCAGGATATACTATGCATTCACAATTGATTTATCGAAACTAATGTCGCAGCCAGATTCTTCATTCACAAATCCATCGGTGCGTTAGCAGATGCTATCATTGCCAGATATGGCAGCGCAAACCAAAAGGCCATGTTGTTTCCATCCACAGCATCTGCCCACAGATGTCGCGACTTCATCAAGGCGAAGGGAGAGCCCAGTCTCACTAAAGATGTCGAGGTAATTGATCTGATCCTTGATAAGGGAAAAGAGTCTTCAGAAATCGTAATGAAGATTTCCCCCTCGATATCAGCTGTAATCTATCACAGCGACCTCTTCCCAGTAGCGAAGCAGTATTGGCAACACTCTGGGGACGGAATCTCAAGCAGACGTGCTGAGTTTTGCCACTCCCTCTTCTCGGACGGCAAGCTCGTGGCTGCGGCAACGCCGCAACCCGTGATCCCCCAGAAAAAGGGTCCCAGGCGATACCAACGAGGCTCCATTGATCTTACTTCCTCCCCGACAGACAACAAGGTCAGCCCAGAAAGAGTCAAGGATGCAGCAGAGATTCAAGAAAGCACGCAGTTCCTGGAAGATCGGTTCGGTCGGAATCTCGATATATCTTTCATTGACAACGCCAAGGTATCTCTCCGTCGCCGCATAGCTGGATCCTTGACAGGAGAAGTGAATCTCGCTACAATCGAGTCAAATAGCCCCGAGAACACCTCCAACTCCCACGGAGTGACTCAGGACGACGTATATCTCTACCCCTGTGGAATGAACGCAATTTTCAGCACCCACCGAATGCTACTACAGTCTAGAGGTCAGCTGAAGAGTATATCATTCGGCTTCCCATACGTCGACACCCTCAAAATCCTACAGAAATTCGGTCCCGGATGCATCTTCTACGGACACGGCTCCTCAGAAGACCTGGATGACCTAGAAGCTCGTCTCCAAGCCGGAGAAAGATATCTAGCCCTCTTCTGCGAATTTCCCGGAAACCCTCTATTGAAATGTCCCGACCTCAAACGGATCAGAAAGCTGGCCGACACCTATGACTTTGCCGTGGTGGTCGACGACACGATCGGGACTTCCATCAACGTCCACGTCCTCCCCTACGCAGACGTGGTCGTCAGCAGCCTCACCAAGATCTTCTCCGGAGACTGCAACGTCATGGGCGGCAGCGCTATCCTAAATCCCCAGGGAAGATACTACGAGTTCCTTAAGAAAGCCTACGAAGTAGATCAGACAAACAACAACAACTACTGGGCCGAAGATATCATATTCATGGAACGCAACAGCCGCGACTTCATCAACCGGATTAAGAAAATCAACCACACCACGGAAGCCATCTGCGACCTTCTCAGGGGCCATCCTCTCGTCAAAGACGTATACTATCCCAAGTATAGTTCAACGAAGCAATTCTATGAGGACTGTCGCACACCGGAAGGTGGATATGGCGGGTTGCTCTCTTTCTTCTTCCATAAGAAAGAACACGCTATTGCATTTTATGATCGCATTGAGACCGCAAAGGGGCCTAGTCTGGGAACTAACTTCACGTTGACTTCCCCGTATGTTCTCCTGGCTCATTACTGGGAGTTGGATTGGGCGGGAGGATTCGGGGTGCCTCCGGATTTGATTCGCGTTAGTGTTGGCGTGGAGGATACGGAGGAACTGGTTTCGAGGTTTGTGGTGGCGTTGAAGGCTGCCGAGGGGGTTGATTCTTGATTTTTCTTTTGCTCTGAGGAGGGAAGGGCTTTGCATATACTACCTGACACTTCAACCTGTCAATTCTATCATGTCTATCATTATATTCAACCATATCGAGCAAGTACTACAATACCAATTTATTTCAGAGCACACACCCACCCACCTACCCACCCAAAGAGACAGTAATAAGAAATAATAAACCCTATAGAAAACACACCCCATACTGGAAACAAACGAAACCAACCATAAATCCGAAAAGCAGAGGCTATTCCCACCATCCCACCCCACACCAAGTATGATATTCCCACCCCATACCAATCATAATAAAACCCACTACATAATCTAGGTACTAGTACCATCCGAAATCTTCCGCCGACAACCCACCCACCGAGCCGCATACTTCCTATACCATACCAGAAAAGGGTCCAACCCCGAGATTCTGCTCTCCGGCATTGTGTAACTTCCCCAGTTTAATCTCTTCAGGCTTGGCGGGTGGTAAATCCCTGACTGACTCCAGAGCGAGCCAAGAACAAGACGACTTCGAGATTGGTCCGTCCTGTTGTGTGACATGCATGCTGGGTGACGAGCCATCCGAGCAGAAGTACTAGTATGGTAATACGAAACTTAAGCTATCCTGCAGCGGTTGAATGACCGTGTTAGGAAGCTCGAGATGATCTCTCAATGGGGTAATGTTGCAAACGATGTGCTGAAGATATTACTATGATGTGTTGTGTTGTGTTGTGTATTATAGGTAGGGATGGGATTGATTCAGTTGGCTTGCGTAGTGTTATTCCGGTAGTTTGGAGCAGTAGACAGTTATGTGAGTGTGCTTGTATTTCAATGTAAGTCTACTGCGGGTTTGAATAGTAGAGAAATTAAAACTGATCTCGAATATATTATCAATTATCAAAATTAAGGGTGGCTGTTCCCTACCACGAGCAGATTCATGCACTGCACTGCATCAGTCATGAATCCCAGCTCCCATCCCTGTCACAGAGACAAAATTGTAACATGAAGCATGCAGCTGCAGGTCACAACCACCAATGGAGTAGCACCACATTATTAACGGAATATCCCGAGAAAGACATCTGTCTCTCGGTGACAGCCCTGCCATGTGCCACTTTTGATTGTCCAAGCACGGAAGTTTCCTCATGCCATCCGTTTGGTTGTACAAAATGAGGGGGTGACACCATCGAGACTCCCCACAGCTGCATTTTCAACAGTGAAAACTTCAGGGAAACTTCAGTTTCTAGTGGTGGACAAGCTTTGTTGTGAAGTTGCACAGACTGTTGAGAGTTGCTCAAGCCGAACAGCGTGCAGAATGACAATGTCATTCTCCGCAATAAGAAACTCATCGTAAAATCGTCTAGGATGAGTATAAAAGACCCTCCACAGTTTTGGGAAGCACTGTCTCTAGTTCTCTTGTTGCAGACCACTATCTCTTATCCTCATCCTGCCGTTGTTGGCCCTCGACCTTGTTGCGCCACAATCGTCCACCACAACAAACGCATGTCCTGCTCACCAGGCAGATATCATGCCCAAGAAACATGTCGAGCGTCGCAACCGGATTATCTATCCATTATCGATCACCCAGCTCGACCAGCGGGATCTGACTTCGATAATTGAGATCCTCCTTATCGATAGCGAAACGGACCGTGCGAAAGTAGCGTACCTGGGCCAGTATCGAGGCTATAGAACGTCCACGGCAATCAGGACCGGCATTCACACTCTCCGATGGCAACTGCAAGCAAACGCCCTGTTCCGATTGCTCTTCGGCCCCTCCAAGGTCGTGCTCTGCGAGGTGCACAAGGGATTTAATCCCTGGATTATCCACAGTCTCTTCAAATTACTGGTAAAAGAGGTCACAGCCTTCTTGGATGAGCTGTACTGGTTCTTGGAGTATCTCAAAGACGATGTCAAGGAGATGCTGCGCGCTCTTAATTCGATCGCCGGCATGTGGTGGCGTCCCAAAAGCAGGCACGACCTTCCTCCTTTCCATGCGAGGTATTACCAAGAGAATCGTTGCGAGGCGTGTATGCTTGCGCGTGTCGTTACCAAGACTCCCGACTTGCAGAATCTCCACGCCACCCTTCTGAGTCGCAGAAGAGAAGATAGGTCTGAAGAACACCCTGAGCTTCAGAAATTCGTTGATGCGGCCATCAGTTTAACCGGATTTACCCCTGATATGCTCCAAGATGGCATGGGATTGGCGGCCAGAGCCAGAGCGGCCAGAAAGGCAGCACGCAGATTCGCGAGAAAACAAATGAAGGGACCAAGACCAATGCACTATAAAGGAAAAAAGAAGAGATCCCATTGCATAACCATCCAATTAAAGGCAGAAACGCCCGAGGAAGCGAACAAAGAGCGAAAAGAAATCCTGGAGATGTTGGCGCGTCTTAAAGGCGAGCCCTCCGAAAAGCTGGACGATCTTGCTAACGACATGGCTAGAGAATTCAAGTGCGACGTGGAACGCACAGTCAATGCTAAGCCTGAGGAGCTCCCAGACTATGCAGACAACGAGCAGGTGTCAATGCCTGCCCCTAGCTATCATCGTGAAAGTCTTGAGAGCGAAGCGGAAGCCAGTGATAGTCTATCGGAGAACGATCTGAGCATCAACGGCAGACAAACGGACTTCACGCCTGCACCCAGCTATCATTCTGATCTGAATCATGTTGGGTCGCAAAATCCTCCGGGTGTAAGTGCCACCAGTTTAAATAGCTCAAATTACCGGTCGCCCACGGTTGCGACTGGATCATCCACTCCAGATCATGCTTCGGACATTCGGTCCCGCCTTGGTGACGACGAACCTCTACGTCCTATCGTCGAGGAGTCTCGCAGAAGTAGCGACACACTGCCGATGGAGGCCAAGACCAATGGATCGGCAATCCCCTCACTCATGTCTGATATGCCAGAGAAGAAATCTGTGAAATTTGCGGCGCCCACAAATGTTGCACCTGTGCGAGGGAGCCGCCTGCCGCAGAACTTGTTCAGGTTCCGAACGTCGACATGATTATGCCAAGAGATGCATATTCGAACCACACAAATATGTGAGTTGCTGAAAGTTTCTCATGCCCGCATAACGCTATTCCAGGTGCCTGATTTGCGATTACTCAGTTTGCTGTAAGTCATCAGAATGTGGAAGAAGTGAAATTTGTACAGATTATTTAGTAAAGACAAGGATTGAGTGGAAAGAACAGAAGAAAAGTGCTCGTCAATTTTCCAAATCTCCATGGTCATGCAGGATGCCCGATTAGTAGATAACCCGAACAGTAGGCAGGCGGGTAAAAAGACATTGTACAAGTCCGTAGCAGGTTCTTATCAACCTGGCTATTAATACAGCGTAAAGAATAATGCAGTGAACAGACAGCGAAGTCGGAAGTAGGAGACGTCCCGCAACTCCAAAGACCCCCGGTGGGCGTCGAAGACAAAAAGTGAAAGAATTATTACAACGAATTATGAGGGCAAAAAAACCTCACTATAGAACGCTGCTGGCGACAGGGTGGTTTACGCTTCGGAAACCGTCGACATGAGGGGAAAGCGTGACGGTCTTTCTGCGGCGAGAGCGAGTGGACTCTGCCGGTACTTCCTGGGGAGCAGGTACAGGAGTGACACTACCCGATGCCGGAGTATCAGCGCCCGAACTGGTGGCGGAGCTAGCATCATTGTCAAGCTGCTTCTGAGCGGATTCACGGGAACGTTCGTAGCGTAGCTTCACATCGCCCTTCCACTGGGTACCGAACCAACGATCCCAGATTGTGAAGAAAGGCTGCGAGAAGTTCGTCTTGATGCCCCAGCTTTGGTGGTGAATGTCATGGTAAGCGGCATTGTTGGATGTGAAATGCTGCAGCGGATCCCAAGGGAAAGCATAGCCGCAGTGATCGTCAACCGTCTTAATGGTGGAAAAGGTGAAGAACCACATGCTCTGGCGATTCGACATCCGGGCTGTCAGGAATGCGACGCCGGTGCCAGCAGTATCGAGAAGGAACCCTTCAACGGGATGGTTGTAGAGAGCACCGAAAGCATAGGGAACGTATAAGCGATGGTGGCGGGAATGGAAGGTTACTGGAAACTGTCAATCCACTGCTCAAAGCCGGAATGACTAGAAGAGACAATGACTTACCATAAAGCCACCGGTTCAGGTGCATCGCGCGATGCAGGAAGTATTGCCAGGTATCGACGACGCAAACGCCCCAGATGAACTGCAATGCGGGGACGAAGAACCAGTAGATGAATCCAGCCGTGGAAAGTTCCCAGCTGGTGAATGCAGGAACCACCGCTTCGGCGCCACTATCCAGAATAAGGGACTGGGTAAATTCAGGATAGTGTCCGCCTGCAATGGCACCTCCGAGCATTGCCCAGCCCTTGTGCGACAGATTCTTCCCCAAACCCGAAGCATCAATACCAAAGAGAGCCAGCAGGTGAGGCAAGCCTCTTTGCAAGAGGCGAAGACGGCGAGCCCAGACAGCCACATCATATTCTTCTTTACCCAAATATTCGGGTTCATCGCAATAGCTCACCGCCATGCCGGCGAGTGTCTGGACTACTTGCTGTAGCAGGACATCTCTCACTACCTCCCAGCGCGTGACTCGGTTTCGCTTCAGCACCTCAGCGGGGGTGTGTAGGCGGTATTGAGGGAAGTAATCATTGACATCGATAAAGTGATATACCATGGACAAGGCCCAGTAGGCAACGATGGGTAAGATCAGGGCGAGGATGTTGTCTGGGATCGGAGCAAGAACCGGCGGGCGGGGAGTCAGAGTGTAGGTCGGAAGAGGTGGGAGGTCAAAGACGACCGACGCGTTGGTAGCCATGATGGGATGAGGACGATCGATCGCCAGGACTATGCAAGTCAAGTAATGGGAAAGGTTATTCGACAGACCTACCGCATCAGTCGCGGAGATCAAAGGTGGATAGGAGATTCAAAGATAAAAGAGAAATCGAAACCGAAATCCCGATCGAATGCGAGTGAGGCAGCGAGAGGTTCCTGACGCAGGCCAAAGATATAGCAGGAGATTTAAGGGCCCGTGGGACAACGCAATGATTATGGACCGGCGATGGCGAGATATCTGATCGGGGATCCTGGTCAGGTCAGGCCCACCAAAATCAGGGGACGCAAATGGCACCAAGTGCCGAGGAACCGATGGGGTAGTTGTGAGGGATTAATTAGGAGGGAGGGTTCAAAAAGAATGACCGCAAGGTTCAGATACCATCTACTGTAGAAGTAGTCAAGGTATCCGACACCAGGATGAAGAAGATAACAATAGTAGAAGGCTAGCCAAAGGAGTGTCTGCAGCGAGTTGAAGGTCATGAAGAGAGAAAAGTCACGGGTGGAATGGCAAGCAGGAGTGGCGCCACGGGATCCTGAGGCCGACCGATACTGCATAAGAGGTAACTGGTGTGTATTACGATATATAATACAAGAACCTGAGTATAATGTTACGCTGATAGATTTATGTTATGTATCAGTATTATAACACCGTATGTTACCAACAGGAGAACCCCCTTAGCCACAGCTCTCATGCCTCAGGCACAAGAATCTCTGGAGTGGGAAGATCGGAGGCCGGAAACCCAACTGACATGTCAGCCGAACTAGAAGAACCCCAGCATCTACAGAGTAAAACGCCCTTAGTAATTAAGAAGGTATTGCAGCTGTAGTCTGGACTCCCAACCTAGTCCTCCAAATTTTGCCTCAACTTTTTTTTTCTCCATCTCCTGTCAGAATTTGCCATCGGAGCAATGGACGAAATAGAGAACAAGAAAAGTTGATTGGGATCTTCTTTTGGGCCAGACGAGTCGACCAGTCCCAAAGAGGACTAGTGCCAGCGGTGCCCCTCGAGCGACGGAAAATCGACCGTGAAAAAAACCCCACCACGAGAAACGGAGAGGGAAAAGCGCCACTAAATATTAATCTTCATTTTTCCCCTCCTTCCCCTTCTTCTCCTCTCCCTCCGTCTCTCTCCTCACCTGCCACTTCTCTCCTCCTGTGTCTTTTGTCACTTTCCTCTTCATCCACCCGCCAAAATGATCATTTACACGGTCCGTATACCCTTCCCAGTCCACTTTTGAACTTGTTGCGAGCATGCAGCAATAAAAGGATGCGTGAAAAAAGAACAACAAACGGCTGCATTAATCATGCAGCCTTGTTGCGTCTCTTCTGCTTCCTTACCTGCAATCTCTATCATCATCATCATATCCTCATGTTAAACATCTACATATTCCAAAATTACTGACGTTCTTTCTCATAGGATATCGTCTCCGGTGACGAGGTTCTCTCCGACACCTTCAAGATCCAGGAGGACAGTGACAGCAAGCTCCTCTGGACTTGCGACTGCCGCAAGTACCTCAAGAAGAAGAACGAGGACTTCGAGCTCGAGGGTGCCAACCCCTCCGCTGAGGGCGGTGATGACGATGCCGGTGGTGAGGGTGAGGCCGTCATGGTCCACGACATTGAGGACCAGTTCCGTCTCGTCTGGCTCAAGACCGAGGAGGGCATGAAGCCCTCCAAGGATGCCTTCAAGTCCCACCTCAAGAGTACGTTTTTGCACCTCTAGGCATACGGCTTAGTTATTACGCGCCAATGCTAACGAGTCTACCCTGTACAGACTACATGAAGAAGGTCCTTGCCAGACTCACCGAGACCGGTGCCTCCAAGGAGACCATCGATGAGTTCAAGGCTGGTGCCCCCGCCGCCGTCAAGAAGATCCTTGGCAACTACGACAACTACGATGTCCTGATGGGTCAGTCCATGGACGGTGATGCTATGTACGTTTATCTTGCCATATTTTTTTTTTTTGGGTTGCAACTGAAACTAACTTGATGAACCAGGCACATCCTGATTGACTTCCGTGAGGACGGTGTCACCCCCTTCGCTACCCTCTGGAAGCACGGTCTCCAGGAGGTTAAGGTCTAAATTCAGACACTGCAGTCATGCGAATAAATGTTGTCATGAATTGAAAAAGAAAGAGAAGAGACACTGAAGATGCGATGTCTTAATACGAGCAATTAAGGGTCCCCGGAAAGTAGCAGTCCAGGCTTTTGGAAGCCTGGGATCCCGCTATCGCGTCCCTTCTGGCTATTGCTAATTATCTTTCCCTTCACATCTTGATATCACATCATGCTCCTGCGTCGCATATCTTCTGCGTCCTTCTTGATTAAAGTCACGCCTCATGAAATCCATAACTGTTACGTCTTTTTTTATTTCTGATCACATATTATTCCATCGTCTGGCGGTTTTTCCGTTTGACGCATAATCTTCTACATGAGCCAAAATCACGCTGTATAACCGTAAACCTCAAGCATGGGTATGAGTTCAATCAAAATGTAGGATTATAAAATCATTATATACTAAAGAGACCAAATATATATCCCTTCAACCAACCAGATACCATAGATCTGATATACTCCGTAAGTACAAATCAACAATAACCCACCCAATCAGACCCCCTCACCTCCCCCATCCCAACCTCGTTACCACCACTACCAACACTCCCAAAACTACCTCTCCCCACACCACCACCACTACTACCACCAGGGACCATCCTCGAAGGCGAATTCGAAGCATAAGCAGCACTCCCCAAGTCCCCAAACTCGAATCCCGTGACCGGGTCCAACTCCATCAATTCATCCGCCACCGGCAGATGCTGTCCGAAGACAGCGTCCCACTGGTCCCAGTCGAAGTTTAAGTTCGGATCCACCATTGAGGGCGGTGTGGGGACCCCCGTGATGGGTTGACTGGTGGGTGAGATGGCCGTGTCCATGAAGGATGGGAGGGGAGGAGCTGCTTGCATAGGAGGAGGGGTATTGGTAGGTAATTGCGACGCTTGCTGGGGGGTATTGTTGAAGGTACTGGCGAAGATATTAGGGTTCAAGGGGGCGATGCTTTCAGGGGAGGAGATGGGGGAGCCGCTGGCGAGGGGGGAGGTGGTGGTGTCCATGGGGTATTTGGGGGGTGTTGGGGATTGAGGGAATGGAGGAGGAGGGACGGTTCTTGATTGCGGGCTTGGGAGGATTGGGACAGGTGCTGGAGGAGGTAGTTGGTAGCGGAGAGGGCTTGGACGGGGGTTATTAGTGGTAGCTGGGTTGGGGAGCTGGTGGGAGCGTGTCATGTTATAGAACATTTTGGAGAAGTCGGTGAGTTGGCGGCGGGTGGTGAGGGGAGGAGGGTAGGTTGAGGGAGAGGCAGCGGCTGTTGGACTGCTGCTGGTGTAGCAGGGGTCATTGTTGGCGTATTCTTCGGGGAGAGAGGTAACGCCTGCTTGGATCTGGGCTTGTTCGGACCACAGCCTGTGAGGATCCAGGCCGGCTTTTTGCCATGCTTTTTGACGTAGGCGTCGGATCATGTCCCATGCTTCGCGGCCGCCGTCTTTCAGAGGCCGTTGCGTTGAGACGCCGTCTTCGCCACCAACGACGCCGCCGTCTGGACCGGTCATGGAGAAGATCTTGTCGATGTAGGCGCGGGATTTGGGTGCCTCGGGGCTGTAGGGTCGTTCGTAGAGGTCAATGAGCATGATCATGGTCGCGTGCATGGGTTGGTGATTTCCCGGCCAACTCCACTGGAAGGGTTGGAAGTCGGGGTCGGTTGCGAGCGAGACGAATTTCTCCATGAAGCCATGACAATGGCGGAGTGCGCTGAGGCATGTTAGTCATGTTGGTTTCCTTGGATCTATGACAGTCAAACATACCTTTGCCGTGCCGCCGGCCAGATCCGACTTTTGGCGTTCTTCAGGAAGGGCTGATAGGCGACGCAAAAAGCCTGGTAGGCTTAGTTAGCAGGGATCCCGGTACATTTTCAGGCACACTGACTTTATCGATGAAAAGGGACATAAGAATCCTTGCCCATTTGTGGAAGGATACAAGGACAGGCGAATGGTACTGCTCTGCGCATCCATTGGGCCCATCCGCCGGCAGTTCGATGTGGGATTCTGCTTGTGATGATAGAGACCATGATCTAGTAGATGACACTGGAGACGATGTGTCGAGCGGGTTTGCCTCCGGTATCCGGTTGATGATAGAGTTCAGCTTGTACTGCAAATCGACCAATATCGACCTCAGCTCTTCCATATCCCTTCGTGTGACGGGTTTTGTGCCAAGCTGTATCTTCATAATCCGGCGAACGGCGCCTACAGTGACCGTTAGATCCCGTGACTTGTTAATGTTTACTTCAAATACTTACGAGCCATTGTATACTTGCCCTTGGCCGAAAGGTAGTATACATTGACCATAGAAGGCCCTCCACATACAGTTGGGTCATCGGGATTATCCGGTGGCCTCATGCCGGTCATGACAAGCCTCTCATATTTCTCAGCAGCAGGAGTCCCAAGCAACGTGTCTTTGACCTCGCTGGTCTCGCGAACATCCCAGTAGTTCTCATCACTGACCAGGGGAGGCAGACCACTGGACATGGCCACCACGCCGTCCATGTGTACAATATGCCACCATATACGGCGACGGTATTCTGCGTCGCTTGGGCCAATGCCAAACTTAGCAGGGTCCCGATGCAAACCCATAGTCTGTGCCACCCTCATGGCGAGACTGATGAAGAGACTACTGGTTAGAGGTTCTTCCTCCTTGGAAAGAATGGTCTGGACCAGCAGATATGCAGATAATCCTTGCATGGACGGACTGCGAGGGAAAGATATCTTGGATAGCCAGCGCGTTACCTCCTCGCTGTATGCTTTGGACAGGCCCGAGCGGGATGGCACGTTAAACTCAGCCTTGATTGTCCGTAATGAGACAGTGACGGAACCGCCATACCAGATGGCATAAAGCAAAGGAATAAAGGATGGGTCGGGGCAAGACTCCCCTGAGTAGCTGCTCGAATCATACCAATCCCAGAAGGAGTTGTAGAGCTTGAGGATGGTTGGCGGGTGCACAACCGGGGTAATGGCGTGTATTCCAGACATGAATCCTTTGTACAGTATATGGCTCTGTCGTTTTGTTGGCATGTTCTCCAGCATTTCTGGCTCGACTATCTTGCCAGTCACGGAAGGGGACTGGCTCGACGGAAATAGGACAGACTTCTGGAATGTCTGACCTCTGCTAAGCTTCTCAGCAGGCTCGCTTACACCATCAGCCGACTCTTTCCACTGGCGCCCCGGTGTAGCAGCCATAGGTTCCGTTCCAGCATCGTCAACGGGGCTCTCATTGAAGGATGGTTCGTTGTGCGATCGATTCTGATCCCTGAGCAACTGATTGAGTTCGTTTATCTAATGATACTTAGCATAGATATTTAATGAAATGCTGAGGCTTTGCCAACGTACCTCATGAGAAATATAAGCCCAATACGTCGTCCCGACGTATCTAACCCAAGGTCAATACAGAGCCCTCCCAATCACAGAACAAAACCATACCTTGATCGCCCTCCATCCTCCAAGCTCAAATGGCCAAGATTCAGGCTCCCTACAGGATCCACTAGATCAGTAGCATGGCCCGCGGGAATTGGGAATTCATCGCCACTAGATTCAGCCGCGCGACGCGGACTATCCGAACGGGAACCAGCAGCCGGCTTTAGGGCCGCTATATTGTTCAAGCGCGGATCACTCTCAGCCTGCTCGATTTTTACATTTGGTGCCAGCCGTTGCTTTCCCGCGAGATCCAAAGGCTGATTCGTCTTGCTGAGCCTCTCTATCATCGACGTAAGTTTGTCCAGACGCGCCTCAATCGCTTGCGACCGCTGCTCGGAAGCTCCACTTTGCTTCAAATGACCGTATATAGACTGTATATCATCGATATCCTCCTCAATCGGTCGCGATGATTCCCTCCTCCGCTTGACGCCATGTCCGTCCTTGGATATGCTGGCGCGCGACTCGTCCTTCTGTGGCGCCGCATCGTAGACACATTCGGTACCGTTTTTTACGCAGTTGCCGCAAATTGGGTGAACCTACGGTTTTGCTTGTCAGTCTGGTCCAAATATCACAAAATCCCAGGATCATGCACCTTGTCGCATTTGACCTTCCGCCTCCGACAGGTGTGGCAGCTGTAGCTGGCGCGATTGCGGGTGATCTGACGGCCCCCAGGCTTCCCAGTCTTGGGAGCAGCAGAGGCCGAAGAGCCTGACGCAGGGGAGTCATAGCTGGAGCGAAATTGAGATCGGGGAGTTCCGTTCGTCTGCCCGTAGCCGGGCAGAATGCTCGGTGGGCTTGTATTCATGGTCCGTCGGTCGCAGTGGCGGGGTTCTATGATCCATCGACAGGACGCAGGGAGGGGTTCATGAGGAGGCGCACATGAGTGTCAACCCATGTGGGTGAGTCGCGACTATTCAAGTGCCGATCGGACAATTATGCACTTGATGTGAGCAAGACAATGAGACAACCGCGCAGTGATTGAAGCTGAAGCTGAGAGGAACAGCGGCGGAGGATGACTCTGGGGTAAAAGAGGCCGCGGTTCTACTTATCGGCGAGTCGTCCGGCTCGGCCAATGACAGCGACCATATACGCAAGACGGTCGGATGGTCCTCCCGAGAAATTCGGAGTGACTTGGATTGACCCATGATTGTTTACTGAGAGAAGCAAAGTCTTACAGAGCATGGTCTAGGTATGCTATAATTTTTCGAATGATCTCCGCGGGATAACCTGGAGAAGCTACGGCTGCCATCCGCTGCGGAGACGGCAAATGGCCCCTATCAGCCACATCCAATACCATGATCCAGATAGTATGTCTCCACTCATTGATCATTTCATTCGACTTGGTATCAAGAGAACAGCAGAGATGCCCTCTATACATGAATCATCATAACGCCTTTCGCCCGTGCCAATGCAATCAAAAGCCTATGTACCACATGAAGAAACATCGACAAGTGCTTCACGCCTTGCCCTTCTTCTTATCCTTCTTCTTCTTTTCGCTGCCTCCAGCAGACGGACTTCCACCCATTCCTCCCATTCCTCCCATCATTCCTGCCAGATCCGGCATTCCAGGTATCTGGGGCATTCCGGGCATACCCTGCATGTTCTGCATTTCAGCCATGGCGTCCTTGAGCGGGTTATCGCTGACTCCACCACCGCTGTAGGCCGGAGAGTGTATCGGCAGGATCTTTCCGATCTTCCATCCGCGGGGAGCGGCAGGCGCAGCAGGCAGTTTCTCGGGCATAGGGAGTCCTCGAATTCTAAGACGGTAGGGGGATTCTTCGGTGGTAGGGTGAGCCTTGAGGTATTGCGCCACGAGGATGTAAAGGTGGTGCTCTGTAGTTATGGTCAGACAAAGGGAACTGTGATCAGGCCATATCAAAAGGCGTCGGATTTGATAGTAACTTGCGGACAAGTTGGGGTACACTAACTGTTCTTGATCCTCGAGTTAACCAATTTGCCATCCTCGTCCTTCAGCAAAACGCGCACACGTCCAGGGTTGGCCCAGTCCTTCGGGTGCAGCTTCTCAGGCTCGAACCCGACATTCAGTCCCAACATCTGCACCGCATCGACAATGTCCCTCGCCAGCGGGTTCTCAACCGCCAGCTCACTTCCGACCTTGCGGCCCTCCGCGCGGGTCCGCGACTTGTCGAAGTATATCGGATACAGGCACTGGTAATGCTTGGGAATTTCGCGCTGAGGTTCGGGAGCGGGTCTCATGGGTACTGAGCCAGACATAGGTACTCCGGCTCCAGAAAGGAGGGACTCATTGGCAAAGTTGGCGGGCGAGGAATCGGAGGGAGCAACTTCCTCCGGGTCGGAGTCATACACCTCCTCCACTTGGGCGTGTCGTGACATAATTAAGATTCAGTATAGGTAATAATAACACTGTAGAAAAATATGTATAAAATTGAGACACGGTAAAGTGTCTGAAGCGGAAGTTGAGCAGGTGGGCTGTTGTAGTGAAGCAGTGCTGGCCTTTCTGTGCGGCAGGGAGATTTAGTGGCCAACCAACTGCGGAGCGGAGAGCTTTGTCCGCCCACCGCCCGCATCGCAGCGGAGATGCCCGTCACTACTAGTTACTAGAAAGCTAGTATGAACATACAGCTCTTGATTTATTTCTGAGCGACAGGTCTATTATGTAACTACACAAACCTTACCTTGAGCTACTGCAGGTGGTGCACATGACTCTGATTTGACACTGTCGCTCTAATAGGTCCTTCACGCCGAATTCCCTCCTACATTGCCTATCTAGGCTCGAGGGTTACAATGCGTTAGACCAGCTTGTCACCTCTATTACTCCTGCATTTCTGCCTGGGCATAAATAGGTGGGCGATGGAAGGGACCTCCCAGAAAGGGGTCTATTCCAGCATAGAGGGCATCGTAGAGCACCAAGCCAGGATGGCATAACTGGCGCGTTCGCCTGGTGCAGGGGCGATCAACACCTTCTAGGGGAAGGATGCAGGGTTCAAGGAGATGTAAAGAAGGAGATGATATTGATGCTTTACGTAGAATTGGTTCAATCTGATTCTTCATTCGATGTTAGATACAAGAGAAGAGGATGCAAAGGTGCGGAAGAAACGGAGTAGGAGCCTATGTGTTCCTACGTTGCAATGTCCCCTTTTCCTTGAAGGCGGTGTCCTCAACACCGTGTAAGAGGTAAGATAGTAGAACATACAACGTAATAAGCTATAGAACGCATCGATGAAACTAGAAAACGGAAAAACAAGGCACGCGTAGAATGCAGAAAGCGGAAAAGCAAATCACGAGTAGAATGCAGAAAACAGAAAAGCAAAGCACGAGTAGAATGCAGTTAACCATTAGACGGTATCAGGTTGGAGCTTGCCCTTGTTTGGCGTCGCAGAGAGCGTCTTCGACCGTTCTCTTGCCAGTCGTATCTTCCGCAGAGCAGTAGCCTCTTTCACAGCCGCTTCAGCTATACTCATAGGGTTCAAGTTATTTAAGCTTGCAGCAACTGCTGTCAAGCCAGTCGCATATTGCGTTACGTGGTTGGACAGTCTAGTAATATGTCTTTGTAAGTTTGCTGTGTCTTTGATAGTCTTCAAGATAGAATATGTCCAGTTAGGTTGGGGAGCAGTCAATGCGGTTGAACTAGTAATATTGTTATTTAATATAACAGAGTTCGCTCCGGGTCCTATGCTGGGGATGGGGGGGGGGGGGGGGGGGGGGGGGGGGGGGGGGGGGGGGGGGGGGGGGGGGGGGGTTGGTGGTCTTTGCAGTTCAGAAGTTATAGTCTTTCTTGCTTGCTATAAATATTATCTTGTTTTCAAGAGTATCTGGAATGAATGTGATGTTGATTATGATCGGGTATTTACTCTTAATGAAGAGGTCGAGCGTAGTGTTCGGGATGTCAAAGTTGGACTACTTTTTCTGATCGACATTATAGATGTTTGCGGGCTTCTCCGCTTCAGCGCCAGGTCTGACTATAGTGATACTGTAGATGATAGTCTTGTCTTTCATCGGATTCTTATAATCAATTAACGGATTCTTTGTTAAACGCGCTATCTCTTTTCTGAGTATACAATAGCCCTGGAAAATAGGGTACCAGCGGACACTCTTTTCCTCTAACCAGACTGTAGGACCGCGAGGGATGCGGCTAGGGCAGATTTCTCTTTTTCTGATGAAATTACTGGCCCATCTCTGGCCATGTGTAGTGGCTGTGATACTAGTATTATATAAGATTATGTAGATCTATGTGTCGGATAGATACGTGCAGGATGGCGGCTTTATCCATTGCGAGGTGTCTCTATGAATTGACCAGTAAGCTTGGATGAACAGTTACTGGTAAGTAACAGTTGAGTTGGATCGGCTTTTTCCAGTCGAGATGTTCGGCGCGAGGGCCATTTTATTGTGCCAAACAGTAGGATTGTAGTATTCTACTATTATATTGTTCATGAGTTCCTTGTCAGTGTCAGTCACTGATCAGTGCTTGATTCTGATCATATCGCTGTTGCTATTACTTTTGGACGAGGCTGTGGAGGCCATGGCTTTCTTCTGATATTATTTAGTGTTGTTTCTTGCGTGCTTCATCGTTTCTCGCGTTATTCGCTTATCAGTGGACGATCAAGTGTCTTTTCACGTCTCTTTCGCGCTCTATTTGCCAACGAATCGCGTTCTTCACGTGGATTCCTTGATAATGCCTCGTGCCGCCGGCCGTGGTCGTGGTGGCCGAGGTGCCAACCGAGGCGCTTCTGTTTCGGTGGTAGTTAATCATCGTCCCCTGCGCGATACTGTTATTAAGCCAAGGTATCTGTGGTGCATGTGTTGCCTTAGAACCGCTGTAGGCGAATTCAACCCCGCAATTATGGAAAAGCAAGCTCCTTTTGTGATTGATTGTATTCTCAATGCGGCCGGTTCGGTCCTCTGCCGTTAATACTTCGATAGACGTAGTAGCTGCGAATCGGTATGATTTCATAGCCCTTTCTTGGAATAACATGCTAACTGTCTAGTCGCCCGCCGGAATCCTCGGAAATGCTTACGAATACACTGATTTACTTAAATGGTACGCGGAGATCTTCTTCGTTGACTTGGAGGAGGGGGAGGAAGACGAGGATATCGTGATTTTAATAAGGATGTTCGCCGGGTGATTAATGAGGCATTTAAACATCTATCCTCTGTCTTTGTACAGATAGTAGCGGTTCATCGTCGTTACCACGGCTTGATGACCAACCAGAAATTGGTATGTAAGGATGGGCTCGATTTGGTGCTGATATACTAATATTTTGCCAGCGTCGCGTTATTGATCATGAAGTGTTTTTGGCGCGCCGCCGTGAACTTCCGGGAGTTAACTATGAGAAGTTGTATTTGATGCCTGGCGATGCGGGATATGTTCTGTGGACCGGTGTAAAGCGGTCGTTCCGCACCGCCATTATTGAAGTGTTGAACTGGCAATTCGAGGGTGATAACCTCGATGACGTGCTCGATAACGTATTGGAGGGTTGGCCAGTCATTATTGGGGAGCTGTAGGGGCTTTTCGGTGTGGCTGGCGTATAGGATAGTTTAAGAAGAAGGATGCGATTGAAGAGGAAGAAAGAATGGTAATAGGTAATATGGAGTAGATGAAGAAGAGAAGTAAAAGTTATGAGGAGAAAAGGGTAGATAAACAAAATTGGGTGGAGGGAATGAGGAGAGCTGAGGTGAAGTGAGATACAAAGTGAGGGGTGAAGTGAGGTAAGAGGTGAGGTGAAATGAGAGATAAGGTGAAGTAGGATTAGATTGACTTCGGAGAGTATTATTCAATACTGCCGGCACGGCCGAGAGCAAGCTTGCTAGGCATGATGATATAGAAGGTGTTCTTGTCCTCAGCGAGGAGGGGGATGTGAAGGAGGATAATGAAGGAAGGATATGGAGGAGAATAGCGAGGATGATAAAGAGTCTTGGTGGCTTCATTAGTATCTTTCTTCAGCTGGTGGTAGTGACTGCTTGTTTACTCCCGTTGCAATATATGCCGCCTCCTCTGGCTTTCCTGAATCTGAATTTCAACTGATGCGCTTCTCGTCGTGCCTTGACAGGTTGGCGTTTGAACTCTCTCTCTCTCTCTCTAGCTTGTTGTACTAGACATCTATGTCTTGTGCCTTGAGTTCCTGCAATTTATTTGGTAACTCCGTGTGCCAGGTAAGAGCACGGCCCTTTAGATAAAAAGGAAGTATGTTCAACACCCGGACGTCGGTCTTCTTGAGTGATGATCAAGCGGGTATGTCTAGTAAAGAATTTAACGTCTGTTGTCTTTGGGTTACAAGTCATGACATTAACTGGTTTCAGGCGTCGCGGTCTCAGATCTTAATAACTGTTGTAGTCAATATAAGTTTGACCATGATTATGTCTCCTGAGATCCTGCGATCTGTTACGTGAGTATCACGATCAAGCAGATACAGTGGTTCCATGGGTGGAATAGGAGCATTCCTCGCCCCTGACATCTGATGAGTGGCGTGATGTAATCATTGAAAGAGCGGCCTGACTGAGGTTCAGTAGAGTCGCGGAATAGAGACGTCGCTTTCGGGCGGTATTGTTGATCTTGTAGTACCAGTTAGTATGGTTGTCAGACCTCTTCTACCCAAAACAGCAGGAAATCGCGCGTTAGAAACCTTGTCACGCTCGAGTCCTGGTCACGCAATCGGTCTGTTCAGATTTGGTGGCGGATGAGGATTCAGACGTCTTCGCGGTGCTGATTGGTCGATGCGTGTTGTAAGAAGGCGAATCAGTACTAGAGCAAGCGTGTGCTATTGAACTTGAAACTGCAAGACTTTGCAGAGGGAAGTCAGTCTCGTGCAGTGTCCGAGGGGCTCAAGGACATGCTCCTAACCTGGCGCGTTCGTCTTGTGCAGGGGCGATCAACATTTTCTAGGGGAAGGATGCAGGGTTCAATGAGATGTAGAGAAGGAGATGGTCTTTATGTTTTACGTAGAATTGGTTTAATCTAGTTCTTTATTTGATGCTAAATACAAGAGGAGAGGATGCAAAGGAGCGGAAGAAACGGAGTGGGAGCCCATCCGGCAGTAGAATCCTGATCACCATAGTATCCAGCAAACTCCGATCATATAGATAAGCCGACAGTATCCATGTATAGACGTTGTCATGTGCCTGATGTACGCTTGAAGGCACGATGTTAGCAACAGGTGGTCACAGGGTGTCTCCTTCACGATCTATCGTCAACAAAGCCAAGATGTTGCATCGAGTCTTTCCTAGTAGAAACCCTCGCAGAATATCATTGAGGCAGCCAATCAACGCTTGCTGCATGGCCGTAAGCCAGGGAGGTTGCTCCTCTCCGCATCAACAGTAGATGGAGTGACGGACGACTCAAACGAGCACGATAACCACCGCCGGAGATCAGCCCGTCGGCGGGCTCAGCCAACCATTCGCTCGGCTTCTCAGGATTGGCTTGCCGACTCCCCGCCGGACTCCATCCCCGCTCCTCCCCACATCCTGAGTCACTGCGTGATATCAAGAAGACGGGCAGTCGCCAGGGCTTATCGCAGGCATAAATAGCCCTGGCTCCTGCTGCAAGTATGGCTTCTGAAATGCATTCTCAGCTTTATTACACTCAACTTACATTTAATCTACTCACTCGGCTATCTATATCCTGATCAATCATGACGAACTCAGGTACGTTCTATATAAACCAGACAATCTTGAGCCATTGCTCTTAGCTTATAACAAACCAGACACCGTCACGCGTAGCTCTGTCCTCCACCGTGATACCCGCTTCGTCCCCAAGAAAGCCATTGGTGGTAAAGGCAGCTACATCTTCCTCGAGGATGGCACCAAGTTCCTCGACTCGACCGGCGGTGCTGCCGTATCCTGCCTAGGCCATGGCCACGAGGAAGTCAGCCAAGCTGTGATTGATCAGATCAACAAGATATCGTACTGCCATACGGCATTCTTCGGAACAGAAGCATCTGAAGAGCTAGCTACCTTCCTTACCGAGTCGACTGGAGGCAAGCTGTCCAAGTTGCTCGTCGTGAATTCTGGTACGTTCACACGCCCACTTTTCACAATACTATGATCAAGTATTAACATCTTTTCAGGCTCTGAGGCCGTTGAGGCCGCATTGAAACTAGCCCGTCAATACTTCGTCGAGCTGCCAACCCCCCAACTACAGCGATCCAGATTCATTGCCCGAAAGCCCTCCTACCACGGCGTCACTTTGGGCGCCTTGTCAGTGGGCGGACACATGATCCGTCGAGAGCCTTTCGAGCCTATTTTATCAACCAACACATCCCACGTTTCGCCTTGCTACCCTTACCGAGGTAAGAAAGCGGGCGAGTCCGATGCGGATTACGTTGCCCGACTAGCAGCAGAACTCGACGCAGAGTTCCAGCGCGTCGGACCAGAGAATGTCTGCGCTTTCATTGCAGAGCCAGTTGTAGGAGCGGTAAGCAGGCATCCCTTTCCAAAATCACCATCATAATGCCTCAATAGATGCATCTCTTCTACCTAAGAGCTCAGCAACTAACGCAGCCAACCATCAAACTAGGCCCTAGGCGCTGTCCCCGCCCTCCCAGGCTACTTCCCCGCCATGAAAGCAATTTGCGAGAAATATGGCGCGCTCTTCATTCTAGACGAAATCATGAGCGGCATGGGACGCTGCGGCACCCTCCATGCCTGGGAACAAGAAGACGTAGTTCCCGATATCCAGACCATCGGCAAGGGACTAGGAGGCGGATACGCGCCCGTCTCTGGTCTCCTCATCAGCGAGAAGATCGTCGGGGTTCTCGACAAAGGCACCGGAGTGTTCCGACACGGTCAAACGTACCAGGGCCATCCTATCGCATGTGCTGCCGCATTGGCTGTGCAGAAGGTCATCAAGCGGGATAACCTGCTCGAGAATGTCAGGAACATGGGTAAGTATCTCGAGGAACGGCTGCGGGGCAGCTTAGAGCAACATCCTAATGTGGGTGAAATCCGAGGGAAGGGGCTGTTCTGGGGTGTAAGTAGTTCCCCTTGTTCCACGATTTTTTGTCGACTTTTAGTGTATCTGAGGATCGGATCGGATGAAAACTAATGTGCCTTGTATCTGCAGATCGAATTCGTGAAAGACAAAGAGACCAAAGAACCATTCAGTCCGGACAAGGGCGTGGCGTTCCTGATCCAAGAGACCGGGTTGAAACCGGAGTATGGGGTGTCGTTGTATGCTGCTAACGGGACGGTGGATTGTATGAAAGGGGACCATATTATTCTGGCCCCGCCGTATAATATCTCCAAGGAGGAGATCGATATCATCGTAGATACGGCGGTCAAGGTGCTTGATGTTGTTTTTGCGAAAGTTAATGCAGCTTGATGATCGGGTCTGTACTTCGTGTGCGGTTAACATTGCTGCCAATAATAAGTATATGGCTGAAGCCATTGCTTGATTTTATCAGCGGTCGATGCGGGGAATGGTCTATCTTGTTGAATGGATGAGGGGATAAATCACCATATACGTAAAGCAGCACCTAATGAATGTTGAGTATGTACCACACAAATGTGTCAAGACAATCTAATTCAAATTATATCCTTGCCCAGATAGTTCAATCCGGAGGGTGTATGGTTCCTTCTACTCAGTATTTCTAGTATTTATTCCTTGGTCTTGAGGCTACGTATTCTTGACTCACAATGGATTCTGATTTAGGATAGGACTGAGTTCGTCCTGACTGAACATTTTCGAGCTGATATAAGTGATGCACCTGGCAATGTCCACATTCGATCTCTATATTGAGAAATATGGTTTTAATATCTATTGGCACAACCTAATAAAGAAAGAGTTTGCTAGAAGATTATAATTAGGAATCTAAAATCTTCTTTAGAGCTGAGCCAGTTGCCTATCTATACCTTAATCCCATGGATGAAAATAGACTAGCTTCAATATTTGGATGAATATCTGCATAGTAACTGCAGATATATCCATTTTTTCAGCAAGCTCTTGTACTAGAATCTTAATATTTCTCTACATGAGATCTTGACCGGATATGTTGTAAATATAGTCCTGTCTTCTACAACTCAATCTATATATTCTGAAATTTACTATAAATGGTCCTTTCACAAGCGAGAGTAGGTTATTTTTTTTTCATTGTTCTAGTCTGATTATGCATTTTACCGCCTCGACTTCCCTTAGAGTCTATCCTCTCGATATCCTCAGTTTCTCGACTCGAAAGTGGGCAGGGCTTCACCGAAATATGAGCCTTGACCCTGTCGTAATAACCGCTCGGTTATCTGGTAAAAGACTGGCACTTGGTCATTCTTGCGTCAACAATTATAACTCGCCCATGTTCCCCGTTATATTTGATCATTCTCCCGTCAGTACCTGCCTATAGTTCTGGCACCTACCGTAGGTACACCATAATGAAGACATCATCAACTACCTCCTGGTAGAAACCACTTCACCCCTTTGACTCACATAGCTTCCTGTCAACACGCTTATCCCACTCCAGTTTTACTTCTCATCTATGCAATTACCTCACTTCACTTCACTTGTTAAAAGAATACCCAAACAGCACATAAGAGGGTTGAGAAATCGTTCAAAGGAAATAATAGAACCTCCTGATTTCGAAATTCAGGGAGATAAAAGGTTTACCGCTGTTGTAGCAGTTACGATCAATTTTATGTCTGGGCCTGCCATAATTTCCCGTTCCGAACGTGTTGAGTTGGCTCGCATAAACGCCAAAATGCATATGCTAGATTCCCGTATTGAACAAATACGCAAGGATACTCAACAGCTAAGCGAGGATACTCAACAGCTAAGCGAGGATACTGACTCGCTTAGAGCCTGGATGTCCGAACTTCACCACGCATCTGATCAGTTCTGGCAACGGACGAGCAGTCAATTCGACAGTGATGTCGCCGAGATGAGAGACAGATTCCTCTCCACGTTCCGAAGAGAATTTATGGGCGATCAGACGGTGGATAATCAACGACTCATTAATTCAGGATATATTATGGCCCTTGGAGGTAATTTCAGAGTGGATGCCTTCCTATACCAGGACGATTCCCGGTATGTCGATGGAGATGGAAAGGTACACCAACCACGCACTGACCGGGATACCTTTCGGCTTCTCTATGGGGTTGATCCTAGCATTGCTGAGAAGATCAGTAAGTCTTGATACATTGTCATACACGCTTGATTTCTATCAATGCTCCTGTACTTCTTGTATTGTTTATCCAGGGGCTGACCTTAACTACGTTAAGACTACACTCCGACAGTTCTGGTACTACAAAGACATGCCGAAGTCAAAGCCTCTGGCAAGCGTGGAGGAATCGACGTGTTCGAGGAACGATTTAAGACATTCTTACGTGTCTTGGAGTCAGCTAAATACGCTGGGGATTATTTGGATCCAATGCGGGAAGAGGATCAGCTTGGAGAACTTCTATCAGCGTACAGAGAGTTCTGGAATGCTAACAAGTTGATGCGATAAGCAACATTGATAAGTCTTAAAAGGAAGACGTGGACTGCGTGAGAAATGTGATGGCTTTGGCTTGAAACCTTTCTCTTATACTCTATTCCTATATGTATTCTAGCTAGCGCTTCTCATATAAGTAAGAGACACATCTCACATTAATGACACATCTCACATTAATGACACACAGCGATTTTACAAGTCAAGCTTATAAGTGATGCCGTTATGGTCTGCCCGATACTGTTCGGATACCTAGGAGCCCACAGCTTCTCGCTTTATTCAATCATATAGCCAGGGATTCTTGGATGGCGAAAGAAACCTCTTTCTCGAGCTTAATGAGACGCCCGAATCCGGGGTCGGAAATTTATCGACAGGCGACATAAGTCATTGACGATCATTTGCGCAAACATGGTGTTCACCAGGATGCCTTTCAGAAGCAGACGTGGATGCCTGTCCCGGAAGGATTCATAGGCCCCTTCGAAAATATTTCCTGACCCGCAGAGGCCTACAGAAATCCATTCTTTGTCGCTTCTGGCATCGTAGGCATAGAAGTCAAGATCCCAGCGTGTGTCACTGCTGGTTGCGAGACCAAGGAGAGTTGACTCTGTTGATAATTGTTGGGCACTACAAACATGCCCAGATCCCAGGGAGCACAGTACCCAGTTTTAGACTGTCTTAATTCAACGGAATCTTTGAGCCTTGACACACGAAGCCAGTCTGGGCAGAGCCCATGCACTCAGCTGATCTGACCCTGATAGTAGAAGATGACTTTACCATCGCGATATAGCCCCGATAAATGCATGAATAACCGCGTAACTGCTACCTGAAACTGGCATGCCACATCCCTCCCATCTAAAAATGATAGGAGCTGGGTACTCCGGGTTGTATGGTTTGTAGCCACCTCCTGTTTGGCCTAATTGGAGGCTCTATGAGGCTGCATACGCAGTTCCAGATTAGTGGTGTTTGGAAGCCGGGGGAAACATGCCACCCATAATCTCATTTCGCGGCGTGTCCAGTTCAGGACGGTTCTCCCAGTATCCCCGTAGAACGCGGCAGTTATATAGATAAGGACGATATTCCAGCGCTGGAAAGCGGATTCCAACATGTTGCATCTGTGAGGCACTTATAAGTGTCATGTAGAATGACTGACGAGCATAGTAAGACTTACCGAAGCTGGTTGGGTCTGAACAGCCTCAGACTTCCCAATATGTCCCCTTTCGGTCGAATTTTCGCTTGTAGTGGCCAAGTCCGGGCCCGTTGGCTCAAGGGGAGTTGTTCGAGCAGTTTCCGCTTTGAGAAAGCTCTGTACTGTGACTGCTAGCTTTGCATGAAATAATGCAATATACTGTTATAGCGATTCTGAACTTCGCGTTCCAGAAAACTGGGAAACGGCATGCGTTGATCTCACGCACGAGTATGTCCCCATAGCGCGCGAGAGGATCTTGATGGAGGTAAGGCTCGTACAACTGCATGATCGTATGTAAGGTTACCATAGTCGCTTCATGTCAAACAAATGTAGAAGGACACTTACTGTTTCGAAGAATCCACGAGGTCGCAGGGAGTTCCTTATTCTTTCGTAATAGAACACCGATACGCTCAGGCGATCGGCACCAGAGATGCCGTCGACTTTGAAAATGCATTGGCAGCATCGATTAAGGCCTCGAAAGCTGCTCTCTTCCAGTCGCCGTCCGCCAGGGAATACTAGAAGTAATTAAACTTCTCATCACTTGACATGCCTCAAGACCCGCGTTATAGCAAGTCTGGGGTCCCATGGCTTTGCTGAGAGAGTTTGACGCGTAAGACTACATGGTTAGGACCCTGACTGGGACGAGAATAAAGACAGTTGCCAAGTCAGTATGGCAGATGCCAACGCGATAACCAGTAGACCAAAAACGATATATCGTGTCTATCTGGATAGCAGACGAAGATGAAGTAGAGTGGGTGGATGGTAAGGAGGAGAAAGAAGGAGGGAAAAGGGAAGAATTTATAAGGTTGTTCAGAAAGAAGAAGGCAGTGAAATTCCCAATCATCATTCACTGTACATTCACTTGTTGTGTTACTATTTCACTTTACTTCCACTGCTGACTTCACTTTGTTCCACTCTCATTCCATTATCCATCTTCCCTTGTCTTCCACCTACACTTCCAACTCTTCCAACAAGCCAGTGAACCTCACTTCCCCCCTCCCCCCGTGTCTTCTCGAAACCACATCCCAGAGTCCACTCATTGACAATGGATGCGTAAGTCTTCCACTCTCGTCGAAAATATAAGATACTAATACTACTCATGTGAAGGTCTAAGGAAAGCACTAAGCTCCCTGGCTCAGAGAGTCTGGACAACTCGAACGCTGAATTGAGCGAGCCTGCCACACACAGCTCGGCTTCTGTTGCGCCTACTGTCTACGACGCTGATCTACTACTTCGGATTTGCCCAGCTCATCTCATGGGTTCTCGATGCAATCACGAATTATGGACGGGGGTCAAGTGCGATCGGTTGCTCATCTGCGAGGTAGGCTACTCACAAATTGATTGGTGCTTAATGTAAGAAACAGTGCTAATCATGACATTATTATAGTACGTCAGGGATTATGTCTGCGAAGGGACCACGTGCCAATACCTTCACAGCATTCCGAGAAGCTGTCTGACCGTGAAGCGGCATCGCAAGTGCAGAGAAGGTTGCACAGATGCACACGATTTTATGGATGCAAGAACGGAGAACGCCAAAGAGTTGGTTGACCATTGCCAAACTATCATGCGTTAAGGTACTGGCTGGGAGGAAATAGTGACTAGTTCAAATGGAACATAACAGGAAGCTTATAGTTACATACACCAATTATAGCTTCATATCACGCTTTAGCCTCAATCGCTGTCGCCTTCAATCCCGTAGAAGCATCCTGATCCTTGCTTTCTCCATTTGCGGCTACCACTGTAGCAGGCGCAGGTCCCTCTGCCCACATGCTCGCCACAGTTTCCACGGCTCGTTCGACGACGACGCGGACCCGATCCCTTAGTGCAGGGTTGGCGCACTCCACTTCCAAATCTTCCAGCCATATCCGGGCGATGTGCTTGTCGACCTTGATTTCGAGCCCCGGGAATGGAATGCCTAGTGCGTGGAGACGAGAAATCTCGGCTGCTTCTAGCTCTGTTAGGTCATCTTCGTCTTCCTCTTCCTCCTCTTCTTCTTCTTCCTTCACAGGGGTCGACTTGTCGTCGGAGTCAACTTTGTTGGTGGTGCCGTTCGTAATGCTATTGGGCGGTAGGCGTGGACGCTCGATGGCTGTGATCTCAGAGCCGAATTGTGCTTGGAGCATCATGAGGAGACGTCGGAAACGCTCTTCTGGTCCGACGTTGGAGTGGGGGTTGGGGATCTGATGGGCGTGGTCGTCGTCGTGATGGTGGTGGTGATGGTGATGCTTGTGCTTTGCGGATTCTGTATGATTCGTAGTTAAGAGGATGGTTCTTCATGGGTATTGTTATAGGTGGTTGCCACTTACGTTTCACTGAAGCAGGGCTGCTCTCAACAGTCAGGAGGACCGCCATGACTGCATCAGCAACTCCATCGTTCATCATGTTCCCTTCCCATTCAAGTTCGACTTCGCGAGTGCGAGGATAGTATCGGATGAGCACGCAACCCATGACCAGGTAGGTTTGCGTATCTCCCATGGGGATTTCTTCATCGGCGGTTTCTTCCTTGAACTTCTCCCCGTTGGCTTTATCCATTTCATCTTCCTGTCCCTTCTTGACAACCTCCTGCTGGGATTTGCCGACTTCTTCGATGGCACCAAAGGTACCTTCGAGAGCCCATTTAATCAAGTCCATGCTTGCAGAGCTCAACGTAATATGCTGCTTGCATGTGATAGCGGTAGTTGTCAACCCAGCATATTCGCGGAGATCGTCAGGTGCCATTAGTGATAGGTTGAAGCCATTCTGGACGAGGACACCAGACATGAGCTGGCCATCGTCTTGCTCCGAAGGAGGCGCGATTTGAGCCAGTTTCCCCACTACCTTCGCGATCTTGTCCTTCTTGAAAGGGATGCGAACCTCTTCGCAATTACCCGGCGTGTAGACCTTGACTTTCACAGTCTTCTCGGCATTGAGACTGAGCAGCTTCGACTTGAGTCGCATCATTTGGTGTTTTTCACCGTGGACAAGGATCTGAGGAGAATGAGTAACCCAAACATATTGTGACGGGAGGTAAAAGGGGGCTACATACCACGACAGGTGCAGAGACTTCTTCAATGAAATTTCTGTTCTCAACTCCATCTACATGGGCGGCGAAACTGACCTCGTCCACTGTACATCTTCTGGGAATCATAACCTTCTGCTCTTCTTCATTTCCGGCAGCCATGCCTCGCCTCACCAATCCCGTCGTTGCTCTTGACATGACCGCAGGGATTTGCTCTGGTTCGTTCAGGATCTGCTTGGCCATTGTGCCCTCAACACTGTAGCCTGTCATGACCACACCATTGCGTTCGTTTGGGGCCCACCGCTCCAGAAGCTCCCTACTGGTTCCTGTCTGGAGCATACCTGGTGAAGCCAGCATAACACATCCTCCTACATCATCGAAACGTTCCAGGCTGCGCAAACTTCTGACGAATCTGAAGTCCCAGGGCCCTGCACTGACACTCTTGTCACCACTAGCTTCCGCTTCCGCCATACGCTGACGGAAGAGTCGCTTAATGTTATCGTTCATTGCACCTATATATGTTTGATACACGACCATACATCTGCGAGCCGTATTTCCGATATAGTAGATAGGTATCTTCTGAAGTTCGGGATGTGTCTCCCAGTATTCATCCAGAATGAGCAACAACTCCTGGGCGCGACCCAGGGCAAACACCGGCATTAAGACCCTGCCTCCGCGATTCAAGACTCCGGTAATGGCTTTCATCAGGGCCGCTTCACGTTCCAGGCGGGGGGGATTCGACGAAATGCCGAACGTTGACTCGGTGATAAGCACGTCGATTTTCACACCTTTGGGAACTTCGGCGGGGATCAGGTGTCTGTCTTCCTCACGAGAATAGTCACCGGTAAAGAGGATGTTGAGGCCGGCAATTGAAATCAGAAACATTGCTGCACCAAGGACGTGGCCAGCAGGGAAGGGAGTAATGCGAATGCTATTGATAGTGTGCGTTGTGTTGAAGTCGATCGTCTCGATCAAGGGAAGCGTGGACAAATGGTCCTGCTCGGTATACAGAGTGGTGCGTTGATCCGAAGACGAGGCCGTGCTGCTCACACGCACATTGTCCTGAATCAACCATTTGTAGATGGCTTTGGTGGCGTGTGTCATGAATACACGGCCCTTGAAATTGGTCTTGCTGAGCACATAAGGGAGCGCGGAGGAATGATCAACATGGAAACTATGAGGTAAGGAGTGTATCTATCAGCCGACTGTCCGATTGAGATGGCCGAGCAAGAGTGAAATTGCAATAGTGGAGCAGAGACTGCGTTAAAAGGCACGGATACAGAGATACAACGCAAAGACCAAGATGAATAACTAGCATATATTGTATTGTGTCTCTCAGTACATGAGCAGATGCAATTGTTATGACGGCAGAGAAGAACTCTGCCACCATGCTGGGAAACCAAGGAGAGATGTGGTGTGGGATGCTATCCACGGCCATGAACAACCCCAGCTTGCTCAGGGGCGACGGTGTAGGAAGGGTGACTAGGGGAACGCAAAAGAGAGACTGTCCCACATACTGGCTGATCAGAAGAATATCTACCGTGCTAAGGTCAAATTCGTCAAAGAAGGGCAGAGCCGAGAAGCCTTCTTTCGCAGGATGCATACCGGCGTCAAGCTGATGAAACCAGAGTCAGTAAACGGTAAAGACAGCATTGGGTCGCGAATGACACACCATCACTGTTTTGCCCTTATACTGGATTATATGACATGATCGCCCGACTTCATTTCCACCTCCTAGACAATAAAAGGCCAATTCATCCGTTGGATCGGCCGGCTCGTCATCCACCGCGGCATTTAAGGCCGATGCCTTTCGTTTTGTGGCCATGATTGGGGGGCTTTGGATAAGCTACAAGTAGCGATGCGGAACTGGTGGAAGTATTCAGCAGGCCGGTACGGATGCGACGGGGTCAATAGTAGGTGGTGGTGTTCCTGGAAGTGCCGATATTCCTAGACTGGCTGCCTTTGCTCCGTAGGATGTCAGTTGACGCGGAATTCACTACCCATGATATGTACTGCAAAGAACTTGATCCGGGATCTGCAGGAGTTTAAGTAGTCAGTGCAGCCGCCGCCGCCGTAGTATCTTGAGCAATAGACGAAGTGTGTTATATCTCCGGCATTTCCTGCAACTGGGCGCAATAAAGACACGGAGAGTCGCGAAACCAAGAAGCGCAAAGGTCCAGCATGGCGCGCACTTACCTAAGCCAGCCACGTGATGCTCCCGGGCGGATCGCCGCAACAGCAAACCTCGTCGGTGCGAAGCTCCCCTTCGCCGTTCGCGAGAGTAACACCGACGAACCCCGTTGACCTTCTTCCCTCCCTCCGCTGCTCACTTCTTCACCAAGACCCCCCGTTCGATTACTCTACGCCATTCATATATCGCTTGCGATGACCTGAGATGGTCTCACTTGGTGGAGGAGGCGGTTAAAGTAGTCCGCCCGGTTTTCCTACAAACATACATACAACGCGAAACACCTTCCCTTTTGGCGTCCAGCGCAACCGTGACTCGCTCTTGCCTTTAGTTCTTCAATTTGGAATTTTCATCGAAGCCACAATATCCATTCACCATGGCGCAGCCCCAGCAACAACACTTGACGCAGTCATTTTCCCCGCCGGTTTCCTCACCTTCACCTGGTGCCCCATCGCCTGTAAATGGTGGTGTCCCTCCACCTCTCAAGCGTCAACGTCTCTCACCTCTCCCCCAGTCCCAGTCCCCTTACGCCTCACCTAGCTTCGGGACTTTACAACTGCCACAACACCAGCCCGCTCCTATGACTACACCGACCATGAACATGAACGGCGTCCCCCAGACTCCCGCTCCTCCTCCACCTCCACCTCCAGGCGCGATGGGGCCTCCTTCTCGACCGGCAGACAAGGCTACCGATGCTGCTGAGCTCACAGATGTGCTAGCATCATCAGGAATTGATGTCCGGGAAGAGGAGGCCTACTTGACGAGCAGTTACTCTGGTCCTCCGGTGCAGGCTCAACAACCACCTCGCCCTCAACAGCCACAGATCCCGCAGCAACAACCTCAACAGTCGGTGCCACCTGCTGTCAACACCTCGTTCACATCACAAACATCGACAATCGGGAGCGTTCCTACGACTCCTAGTTTTGAACAACCTTCCCCATATAAGCCGGCGACGACGCAGGATTCCTTCTACAGGGAGCCGTCGACGCAGCCTCCTGCGCCTTTCAAGGATCCCAATGAGCCGACCCGCGAAGACACTGAGGCAGCTCGGCGCGCGCAGTATACTCTACAAGACTCTTTCTTGTGGACTAAGGTATTGGAGCAGAGGCTGCAGAAACGTGGATTCGAACTCGGAGTCCGTATACCGGCAGAGGGCCTGTATCATCCCGTGCCCGGTCGCCAACAACCTATCGAAGTCACTGGACCAGATGGATCATCGATCATACGTTCCGGGCAAACAATCTTGAACCAGACCGGCGCACCTCTATTGGACATTCTCAGCTTAATGTCCATCGCATGTGAAGAGCGGTTGCGAACGGTGGTCGATTATTCTTCAACACTGGCTCGAAGTCGACGCGCACACTCACACGGAATTGTCCCCACCGATTGGAAGGACGTTGCTACATCGGCTAATGCTGTCAATGGGAATGTGGAAAATCCTAGCACACCACTTAAGCGTAGGTTTACCCCGAGATATTAAGAAGTGTTTCAAACTAATCAATTGGCAATAGGCCCGCTATCAGCAACCGAACCGCAGGGTACCAAAGCACTGTCGGAGAAGTATCGTCTACTTATGGACAAGGACAATTCCAGCGAAGAGGCCCGTGCTGCGAAACGTACCAGACGCAGCACGAATGCCATCCTTGGAGAAGGGGGAGCGAGCCGATCGGAATCCGTGGATATCCCTGGCTCCGGCGCCTCCACACCGATCGGAGAGAGAGCCCCTAGTATCGATAAGAAGGGAATGTCGAAGAAGGAAGCTAAGAAGCTGATGGATGCCAAGGCGAGCGAGGCTCAGCAACATCAGCAGTCGGTAGAGACCGCGCGCCTGGCTACTAACAGCATGCTGTCTGGTCGCATGTTTGGAACCAAGAAATCTTACTCGTGGCTAAATCGTGGTGCAGCAGCTGGCAGTGGATTCTCCACGCCGTCCCGCGTCAACACTGCCACGCCGCCTGCGAGCACGGACAAACCCGGACGTTCCGGTGAACCTGCCGCCGTGCCTGCAAAACGTCTGGGAACATGGCGAGAAGACAAAGACAGAGGCGCCGGCATTCAGGTCCGGGATGTTCTGTTTATGCTGGAGCTGGATGGCAGAGGCCCTCGACACGTACAAAAAGCCTACTCGAAGGATGTGAAGGAGGATCGAGCGGACTGAGATTACCTGGCATATGTCGCTCCAGCGGTTTGTAATTCCGTTTTGGGTTCCATGCTGTGACTGCGCAGGATCGTGGTTACTTGGCAAGGTGGCATACTCCGCAGTGCTCGCAGTTGGTGTTTTTACCATTCATTGTATGTGCATTTGCCCATTTCTTTTCGCATCCGATTGTGAGGTCCCGGACTATTGTCTGAGTGATACTCAAGCATCCGAATCTCTTCCTTTCTTCTAAGTTTACTACCCCCTGTTTAATTGCCCCGGGTCTCTGCCCGATATTTTATGTGGATGTATTACCTTTTTTCATACCCGTGTGTTACGGAGGGACACCAGGGTATTGCTATTGCGATCCGCTTGCTTCATCTCCTGACCGACGGCAGTGAGCAGCAAACGCCATTTCATGATGCTTCTGAGAATTGTCGGACAATCCAGTGACGTATTGTCTGGAAGACGGCAATTTGACGCCTCGTGAATAGTTGGCTCTGCCAGTGTGCCACGGGGGGAAGAGAGCGAAACGAAAGAAATGAAAGAAACGGCATGGGCAGACTACGTCTCTCCGTGTAGTACTCGGTCACCGCATTTCATACCTTTGAAATGATATGACATATTTGCCTAGCAGACTGACCGTCTTCCATCCCTTCTTTCCCTACTATTCCCACGTAGACTAGTTGTAGTCTGTTCGTACCTGAGGCCATTCGTGCTGCATGCCAAGCCCGAGGTTTCCCAGAGGAGTTTAGGGTTGACGCCTAGATCGTTCCGGGCATCAGGTGGGACCAAACACGCAAGTCTCTTTCAGCCGGACAACTGAATCTGACTTCATGGTTAGTTGCCCGGGGGGAGTTGCCAATCAGCTTGTCCACCAGACCTTTCAGCCGTTTTGTTCCAGTCACACTCAGATCATCGCCCTCTCATCCCTACGATTGATCCCTCTTTCTACAGACCAGAGCAGCAAAGCGGGGTTCCCCAAGAGCATGATCAACTCAGCGGGGGAGGGTACCACCCCAACTTCAAAAACAAGAGGATCAACTTCGGGGGAATGATGTCAGAGATCAGGGACTAAAGAATTGGGACGAAGGGAGCACAAGGCCGAAAAGCGGAGATTCGCCGCCCCCAAATCCAATCAAACGCCTCCGCGGCGTCATCACCCAGAGCATCCTTGTCTCGGGTTATTATTAAACCTTCTCCCAGGGCAAATTGGCGGTACGAGGCATCTCTTCTCACTGCAAACGAGTCTCTTAGTTTACTTCCCACCAGGTGGAAAAACGCATGTCATGCAGCAGCCCTCTCCGGTGGTCTGAAGGTGCCCGAAATGCAACGGCAGCCACGACGACATATTGCCACCAGACCATCACTACTAGACTAATACTGCACGGCTAAGACTGCAGACGAGTAGAGCGTTGACAAGAAAAGGCCGGTTGAACACATCCACAATGGCACTCAGACCCATCATCATCGTCCTCCTCTTTCTTACCTGACCATTTGGGTCTCGCAGGGTAATTGGTAACGTGTTTCATATCTGACATTTCGGTTCGCGGAAGAAAGGACCTCAACCGGTGGGTGTCATCCAGAGCTTGGAAGCCTAGACTCGCCTCAAACTCCGGCGCTATGTTTTGCCTCCGGGGCTGGTTGGGTTAGATGAGCCTTGCGATCTGCGCCTACAAAAACCGTGCCAGATCGTTGTTTGGGATTGGAATTACTATTATTGATAATCACCAATTCCCCTTCCATGGGATGTTACCGCATAGAGAAAAGGGGGAACAGCCAAAAGGGCAAGCAAGACAGACGGCATCGAAGACGGTGTTCAGCCGAAGAATAGGCTTCTTCGGAGGATTGATTGATCCAGAAGGCCCAATAACACCGACTGGAATGGAGGATGAAGAGGGCGAGTTTGTGTGTGTGTCGTAACCGAATAAACCTTCTGTGGTGGTGCTCGTGCGGCGAGGCGCCATCATCCACCATGACCCTTGAGACCGCCGTAATGGTGGAGAGGAGATTCTGTTCGGTCTGTATTCTTTTTGGTCAGTGGTGCGAGGCAGAAGGAATAGTTCAGTTCTGCACACTGCCATTTTGATCTCCCCCCTCATAATAGAAGAAGATTTGTAGTGTTATTGTCCGTCTTCTTTGTAGTGTTGGTTGCTGTAGGCCCATCATTCTAATCCAAGCAGGAATTGAGAGAATAAACTGGTCATTACCAACTACTTCTTGGGAAGGTTCCCATTTTCCCTTGCTCTCTGGCCGCTGGAATTTCCCGTTCGAGCGCGGACTCGCAACTCAGTTGCTCTCTGGTGTCTGTCTTGTCTGGTCTATCTGTCACCAGGTCTCATCGCCTCTGCCATTTTCAAATTCCAGTCTTCGCGGAGCACCATCACTTCTTGCTTTTCGCCCCCTTTCATTGATGCTCACCATTCTCTGATAAACCCACCACCCCAAGCTGATGCTCTCCAACACTTCAATGGTCTCTATCTTGGCTCACCCGGTGACCCAATGAGTCCTTCGTGAGCTCATCCGTACCATACGAAGCGTTCTCGGACGCCTGCTGGTTCCCCCGACCGACCGCCTCGCCATCCATCCATCCCTCCAGCCAGTGATCCCCACGCCTCTCGACTCTCTCTCTCTTCCTTTCCTTTGCCCGGTGTTAATTCTCCTTGACTCTTCTTTTTCCCCTTGCAATCCTTTTTCTTTTTATTCTTTCCTATACCCCGTTAATTTCCAATCCCCTTTTTGCTGGAATTACAACACAAGAATCCGCGGGTGAACAAACCCTGCTCCCAGGTAGTCCGCAGAGATTAGGATTACTACGACGAACGATTGCCGCTTGTTACTACGACGATTCGGACGGCCGACGACCATCCGGCGACTGACTGTGAATCTCCTCCCCTCCACCACACCCTCTCTCTCTCTCCTTTCCTCTTTCTTCTCTTCTCCCTCTTCACGTCCTTATCTCCTTTCCTTTCTCTCTCTCTCCCTCTCTTCCCCTCCTCTCTCCTTCATCTAGCCGGAATCCGCCGTGAGGACAGCCGGCTAGTATACACTTTTTTCTTTGCATCATGTCCACCCCTTCCACGGCTACCGCGACGCATCCGCATCAGCAACACTACGGATACCCCCATCATCAACCCTACCAACCGAACGCATCGTATCCCACCACGTCCGCTGCAGGCACTTCTCGCCTCATCCCCTCTTCATATCCCTATCCCGTCTCCGCCCCGACGCCTGCCACCCTTCCCTTCGTGCAATCTCCGAAGCTTATGCCAACCGCACCCACCCCAACGACTACCACATCCACCACCACCAACACAACCACTGCCACCACAACAATGCCTCCAGCCCACAACGCTGTGGGCGCTGGCACAACAGCGCAAGGCAGCCGGAGAAGGAAGCCCAACTGGGGCGAGTTCTACAAAAATGGGATCCCGAAGGAGGTGATTGTCATTGATGACACGCCCCCTCCGGAACAGTCCAAGGCCTCTTCGCGCAGTCTCGCGACAGCGTCCACCGTCACGGCAGCCAACGGCAACGGTCCTCAGCCCGCTGGGAAGAAACGGCGCACCGGCATCGAGTCAGCCTACGACGTTACGTATTATGATCGGCCGTCGTACTCGATCAATCCACAACACTATGGCGAGGAGTCATCGGCTGCCTCCCTGTCGACCGATCGGACAACCTCTCTGCACACCACGGCTCCCACATCTCTCTCCCAGGGAAGTTCGGGGGCCAGTAATGGGATCATCTACGAAGACGCCAATGTTGGCCAGAAACGCAAGCGCGTAACCACCCGCAAGTCCGCTCGAGATGAGCAAAAGCGGCGGGAGTTGGAGAATGCGGGTGATGCGTTCTTGAGCTATGTCCCGCCGCCGAAGCCGCCCATCAAGGCAAAGGACGTTCCTGTGCCTGTGGTCCGCGATGTATGTGTTAGATCATCAGCCCCATCCCCGTGTTACTTCTTTTTATTTTTTCCCTTTGCTAACCGACTGTAGTATGCAAATCGAGGCGAAAAGTATGATGACGACGATGGCCACTATATTGTCAACCCGAATACTCCCTTGACTGAGCGGTGTATGTGATGCCTTGATGCTTTTTTAGAATACAATTGATACTAACCTTTCGCAGACTCGATCATCAAACTCTTGGGGCAAGGTACCTTCGGAAAGGTGGTTGAAGCGTTTGACAAGCAGCGTAAGACCCGCTGCGCCGTCAAGATCATCCGCTCGATCCAAAAGTACCGGGATGCTTCGCGGATTGAACTTCGGGTACTGTCCACACTGGCCTCAAACGACAAGCAGAACCGCAACAAGTGCATCCACCTACGAGACTGTTTTGACTACCGCAATCATATCTGCATCGTAACGGACCTGCTGGGGCAAAGTGTCTTCGATTTTCTGAAGGGAAACGGCTTTGTGCCGTTCCCCAGCAGTCAAATTCAAAACTTTGCCCGGCAGCTGTTCACCAGCGTAGCCTGTGAGTGCTTTGGGCCATATGCCTATCACTGGGAATATTCAGCTGACATGCACAGTCCTTCACGACCTCAATCTCATCCACACCGACCTTAAGCCCGAAAACATTCTCCTCGTCAGCAACGCTTACCAAACCTTCACCTATAATCGCACCATCCCATCCTCTTCGCATGCCATCTCCCGGAGTGCACGTCAAAGACGTGTGCTGTTGGACAGTGAGATCCGGCTGATTGACTTTGGGTCAGCCACGTTCGATGATGAGTATCACTCGTCTGTGGTGTCCACTCGACACTATCGGGCCCCTGAGATCATCTTGAATCTGGGCTGGAGTTTTCCCTGCGATATCTGGAGTATCGGTTGCATCCTCGTGGAGTTCTTCACTGGGGACGCCCTTTTCCAGACGCATGACAACCTAGAGCATCTTGCCATGATGGAAGCTGTTATCGGCGATCGCATCGACACTAGACTAATGAGGCAGGTGATGCAGGGCGGTCGCAGCGCAGGCCAGAACCAGGCCGCCAAGTAAGTCACACCGTGATTGCACCCGTCGGATTACGCTGACAGTCCCAGATATTTCAACAGGAACCGGCTTGAATACCCGAACGATCAGACCACTCGTGCCTCACGAAAATATGTCAAGGCAATGAAGCAGCTTCCAGTACGAGCCTCTTCCACTTGTGGCTTAAACCCCGGGTCAACATTGCTAACCAGTCGCAGGACTTCATCCCGACCAACACCAAGTTCCATAAGCTATTCCTTGATCTCCTTCAGCGGATATTCGTGTATGACCCGAAGAACCGTATCACCGCCAAGGAAGCTTTGAAGCACCAGTGGTTCAAGGAGTCCTTAGTGGATGACGGCACCGAAGCCCTACGGATTGGGGAGCAGCTGCAACGCACCACTCAGCGGCGTTGATTGGAGCAGTCTTCTGCTGGAAACTTGTATCGGGTGTGATCTAGCCTCGCGCTAACCTCCAGACGCTGCGGAGCCTTTCTATACCAAGAGGCTGGTGCGTCGAGGTACCCCCCTTCGACAGTCACCAGGCGTTAGCATGTATGGGTACAGCCACATTTGCGATAGAGGGATGTTGTTTTTCTGTTTGGATACTCTTTCTCAGGGATGGCCTGGCGATAGCGCTAGCCGATTGATGATAACTGGGTAATGGAACTGACGGAGGGTACATGGATGGGATATCCCGGAGTTGATGCCCGCAGTCGGGCAAGGTGTACGGGGTTTTGCATGCTTCATTGTGAACACAAGAAACCATTGGTCGGGGCCTGATTATACCAGTCCCCGACGAGGACAAAAAAGCAGTACGACATATATCGATTACCGGAGGGACATACCATTTTATATTTATGTGATTTTTATACTGTCCAGGCGGCCTGGACTTGGGGCTTTGGGCTTGTGGGAATTCTGTTGTGCTTCACATCGTTTTTATATCTTCCTTTTCTTTTTTTCTTCTCTCGCAGCATCGTTCGATGTGATTTTCTCATACTCGGAACTTATTGACGTCTACGGGCGCTGGTGACATGACGATTTATCTCCTGCATAGCTTCGACTATGATTCTTGACCTTTTGACTTGTTCTTCGACGCGGTAGAGCAGTACCCTCTGGTCTGTCTGTCTGTTCTCCTCGAATGGACCGAGGTGATGATGATGCATAGACATGTGCATTGTGAACTACTACCCCTACCGATGTATATATATTATACCACTTGATATTACCTTACCTGCTTACTTTCATGAGCTCGTTACGACTGATCAACGGACCGGAGTTCTCTGACGCTACCATTTACCATCTCATATACCAATACCACACTTCACCTTGATATGATGGACAGATCATTTGAGACCTAAAGACAGCATCATGTTCACAACCATCACCCCTACTTACTACATGAGTATATACCACAATAGATATAAGACAGGTATGGAAATTCTAACCCCCTCCAAAAGAACGGAATGGCTACTACAATACTAATCCATCCCTTCCCCGCTGCTACTACTACTACTATATACCCCTCAAGCATCGCATCAACTCTACTACTACTACTACTACTAGGATACACACCCCCACCACCTCACTTCCATTTATTACTCAGTTCCACCGCTCACCAAGTCACCACCAAAAAGGATCCTCCGCAAAATCCTCACCCTTGGGCATGCACCCACAATTCACTCCAACCGAAATCAATTCTTCGGCTACCACCTTGTTCCTCCTTACACGAAACGGCATTCACCATTTTCTCCAACATCGAAAACAAATTAAACACTCGACTTCCCGATGATACTCATCTCCGCGGTCACAGTGTAAGAAATGACTGGAGGCGACTGAGGTGGTTGGGACAGGCGAGTGTGGGGAGTGTTATAGATCACTTTCTCTGTACTTCCCAATCTACATTCTCATATTAATGGAAATTTCACAATAACGGATTCTATTTTGACGAAATATTAATGGAAAAAAATCCAATCTATGAGATAATAGTCTGTTGGAGGGAATGTGCCGTTGTCTTTCTGGTAGGAGGGACGGGACACACATAGTATATAAAAGGTCTACCTTCATAAGTGTAGTACCTGGAGGGTATATCGTGAAGCCAGTTATGCTTCTCTTATGAAGTGACGCATGCTGTTCGATGAGTATTATTGGCAAATAATGACAAGGTTAATTCTGTCCTAGCTAAATAGTACTCGACGGCGAGATATATATAGATATTTAGAGTAGAGTACTGTGGTGGTGGTGGTGAGGTTATTACAACTATTCTACAACTATGCTACAACTATGTTGCGATGGTGTATAATTGGAATTGGAATCCATTCATAACTTCAATCAATATAACGATTCACTAAAGTATTATTTTATGTATAGTACTAGTTTGTATACTATGTAGTAATGATGGAATCAATCGGTTGTAGGAGCATAAGATCTGACCCCTCAGGACAGTAGTATGTACTACTGTGGGCAGTACTCGAGTACCATCATCTGGACTCGAAGAGATGGTACTAGTACTAAGTATATATAGTATCATGTGTCATTGTAAACGAAGGAACGATGATGGACGAGCTATGTAGATTCGTTGCACTCAATAGCAATTCCCTTTATAAAGCACAAACTTCAATTCAGCACCAAAATTGCTCACCGAGAATATATATATATATATGCAACCACACGATCTAACCACAAACGGTCTAACGATCTAGTAAGAAAAAGCATCGCAAACTATGAACCGAAGACAGAAAGCTAGTATCAACAAACGCCCCCCCCCCCGCCCAACCAAGGTAAACTTTTTATCTACATGCCCCGGTTAAACTCCACCTGTCCATTCTCACCACCCTTCTCCCAGAACTCCGGCTCCAGAGTCGTCGCGCTAATAGCCTGTCTCTGGGGGAACGCTCCCAGGGCCAACGGCAACGCAAACAGCGAAGTCGCGAGCACCAATCCCAGGTTCAAGGGCATGATCATGCGCGGACGAGCCTTCAACCAAGCGGTCTTCTCCAAGCGCACCAGCACCAACGGCGGGACCACCATGATAGGGGTAGCGTTCAGCACACGACTGATAGCTGTCTCGCCGACCGCGATAGTAGCCGCCTTCTTACTCTTACCCAGACTCTGCACCGACTCGCCGGACTCCTCGAGCTTCTTCTTCTCCACCTCCGACAGCACCGGGTACACGTCAATGCCCTGGCGGATCTCCTCACCGCGCATGAGGAACACGTTCAGGGCGCTGGCGCTGGACACGGCGGCGAAGGGCACGAGACGACCCAGGATGAGCTTCGCGTTGGGCGAGATGCCCTTCAGGCGGGGCACGAGGGCATTGAGACCCAGAGCGACGGAGCAGGAGGCCGACACGGCCATGAGGTAGGACTTGGCGATCTGGGGGACGGACAGCGGGGTGGATTTGTTGGCGTTCGCGTTGTTAATGGCGACGTTAAGGGATTGGTTGGCAATTTGCCAGAGGAGGGTTCCGGTAGTCTTGTATTTATTGGTCAGATTTATGATCCATATAGTTGGGTTTGATAGCTGGCGTGTCTTGTGTAACTTACCTGCAGGCCCGGCGTAAGCATACCAGCTGTCACGACCAGATTGGACATAACGTAGCAGGACATGCGGAAGGGAAGGAAAACCGGCTCGCCAGTGTCTGTTAGAGTGTATGAGTATATGCTGTGTGGATTTTCTCGCAAAGCTACCTGAGGGGAAACGTACCAGGGTGAAGGGTGGAATCGACCACCTTCTTCGCGCGCCACAGCTCCGGAGTCATATGCGGAAGATGGTTCTGCTTGTACGAGGAGACCAGCTGTTTAGCCTGCTCCAAGCCGGACGAGGACACGAACATCATCCTAGAGAAATCGGCATCAGCGAAAGACCACACACTCACTTCACATCGAGCGCATTTGCTCACTTACCGCGGGTCGGAGAGGTCAGCCGCATGCCGCACGCGACCCCAGTAGGTTTTCAGATCATATTGAGACCGAGGGAGGTCCCGGCTGCCGGGGAGGGAGGCGGACATCTGCAGAGACGAACGAGGGTCGCGAAGACAGGATGGACAGAGACACTTCAGGGAAAGGAGGAGGATCGGAGGAGTCATCGGCGCCACAGCGAAAATCATTGAGGCGGGACCACACACGTGCCTATCGCGGGCGGTGAGCCGATAAGCGCCAGGTCCACCAATCGGAGTGCGTCAATCTCCGATCTCTTCAGGAACGTTTCACCGCCTTCAAAGCGGTACGGTATTTCCGTTACCGAACGCTACTCCAGGAGTATTTACTGGTAGTGCCGAAGTCCACTACTTAAGGCTATGAATTTGCTATGAATTTCATGGTAGTTGGTTTCATTTCAGGGTGGCGAACATATAAGAGTACAGGTATCACAAGTCTCTCGCCACACAATTAATAGAACAAATTAAAAACATCCAACATCCACAGGTGATCAGTCATCGCTGGGATGTGATACATGACCGCTCGAAGCGGATGAAATGTACGTCGCAAGGAATTGGGGGTATGTCTAAGCTCTGGCACACAGATGAACAAAGGAAACCCGGTGGAAAAGGGGAAATGAAAGGCGTAGGCCTGCCTGTTGGCGAGACCATCAATGCAAAAAAAGAACCCACCCGGGATGTAGGTCAAGTCGTACAAAAACTCGGTGCGAGAATGGTACACGAAGAATGAAAAAAGACGCCAATTGGGCGCCGTGGTCATTACGTTCATCGAAATCGGTAGGATTTATGAGCTAGAGGCGAGGTGGGTGCGTGTCCAGGAGCCCCGACAGGCACTCGGACCCGATGATTCTTTCGAGTGGGAGTCTGGGCGCAGAAGATGCACACATACACGGATGGCAGGTTGGCCCGCTCCAGTCCGACGCACTTGGTATGCAACCAGTGACTGCATGATTCGCTGCTCATCTATCAGTAGCCGTCCATAGACGTCTAGTTATCGCTATGGCTTACCATTGGATCATGAGGTGGCCACCATTGTCCATGGAATTGCAGACACACCGGGTCCCATTGCTGGGGTTGCTGAAGCGGTCGGTGACGGGGGTGGCTATGTCGGGGTCGGTCATGGTCGTGGGCGATGTGTTCGTGGTTCGTGAGCTGAGGTCAAGCTCCGCACCAAATCGTGGCGGGGACGATCGGAGGTGGGCGAGAGAGCGAGCAGAACGGCTGATCCGTGACCCGTAGCTCACAGTGTGCGGACGAGGGATCCGACCTCTCTCTTGAAGGACCTTCCGGAGTGCATGCTGGGCGTCACCGCTGTCGTCCTCGGGATCAGCAAAAGGCTCGCCTAGGGAACCGGCACTGAGGTATGACAGGTCTGAGTGTAGCGTTGTCAACTGCTTCTTCGGGGTGCGCTTCCAGTCATCCAGAGTAGGCTTGTACTGTGGTCGCCTGGAAGGCCCTCGACCGGCGTCAGCCCATGGCGATGCTCGTCCCGAGGACGACGCTGCCGTAGAGGTATAGGAACCCTTCGAATGGGGCCGTGAACCACAGTCACTACGAGCAATCGTCGCACCACTGGCGTCGGAAAATGCAAACGAAGGGTTGCGGCTGGGGACAAGTGGGTATTCACAGTAGTCCACCGAGTCATACTCGCTTTCCGTGGTCGAGCCATCCAAGTCCATTCCTGTGAGGGGGTCCGTCAAGCCGGTGGATGCCTCGGGCACAGGTTGCATTTCCGCCTTAGCTCTACCGTCTTTCCCTATTTTGAGGACTACAGACTGAGAGCGTCTGGGCAGACTAGCAGCCACCGAGTTTGCCCTCGACAGCTGATGACGAATGGGCTTGATAGGCGACGAGCGACCCTTGGAGGGACTCTTCCGGATTCCGTTGGAAGCCATCATACACCCAGACGCCGATCGGCTGGCAGACCCTGCAATAGCACTGTGCGTTAGGCTACGAGTCAGAGCAGGCCTCATCTGACGGGGAGTGTAGTCATCGTCATCATCATCCTCATAAACAGGAATATGGTGGTTGACGCTGCGAGCACGGCGGAGCTCTTCTCTCTTGGACTCTTCCGTTTGGTGATGGTAGGGCTGGCGAGTCGGTCGGGAAAAGAGCCTCTTCTCGGGAGTCGGCTGCAGCCCACCAAATCGGCGTGCAGGGGAGCTCAGAAACAGCGCTGGATCTTCTGCTTTTGTGATAGGGCGGCGAGGGGAAGTAGAAAAAGGGGCAGGAAACAGGGCAGCGTCGGTAGTGGTCACCCCAGAGGAGAGGTTATATGTACTACTGTTGAAATCGGGGAGGTCCGTGTTCCCTTCGATTATGGGCAATTGTGGGATGTGAGAATCTGGGGCGGTGGTGTGGTTGACATGGAAGGAGTCATTGGCATGAAGGTCAAACAAATCGAGGTTGTTACTGGCCGACAGGCCCATATTGCTCTCGTGCTGGTTGAAATCATGGTCCCAAAATAGCCTTTGCTGTGGGAAGAATGTAGAGGCTGCAGAATCGATTGCTCCTAGCTGGAATGGGTCTGGGGAGGATTGAAGATCTCCGAAGAGTCGTGGGGAAGCCCCCAGTAACCGACTGGGAGTCTCTAAATGGCCGCCAACCATACTCGAGGCGGACGGCCGTCGACCTGTACCAGTGGCCTCGTCAAGCCCCGTCACCTTCTTCCTAGAAGCACTGCTGGGAGGAGGGGTTTGAATTGTCGCAGCAGATTTGGCTGAATCTACCGTGCGAGGACCGTCCTCTCCCACATGCCCATGTGGCCTCGACGGACGACGTCTCTTGGCCGTATCTGTGTCCTGCTCCGCCGCTTTGCCATTCCGGGAATTGTCCTCAGTGTCTGTCGGTCGGTCGGAGGCAGTGTCCGGCAGCCGGAGAGGGTTGATGGAAGGTGTGCTCAGCCCAAACTTCTGGGGCGTGCGGAGGAATTCCGGACTCGAGGCATAGGGGTCCGAAGTATCCCAGGTAACCCGGGGATCGAAGAAGCTGGATTCGAGTTTGGGAGTCTGAAAAGCGGAATCGCCAAAGATTGTGGTTGTCGGGGGAGTCCTCGTAGGGGTCTGAGGTTCACCGTTGGGATAGCTGAAGCTGAACGAGAAAGACGGCTCTGTCAGCATCATGTTGCACACTAGCTATCGCTGGAGGGTCGGAGCTCGGCAGGAGCTCCGCAACCCACAGGATATACTGCCAGATAGGACCAATGTAGGTAGAGTAATTATGTGCATATAAAGAAAAGCCCAAATTCGAGTAGACAATAAAAAGTAAAGGGACAACAGAGAAAGGAAACAGTGTGAGAGGGAGAAAGTGTAGCTAGTAAGGAGCGTGGTGATAGAGAGGCAGCCCCGCGTGTGCCGGTAATACAAGGTGAGTAGGAAATTCAACCGACATACCTGTGAACCGGTTGATCCCAACTCATGTCAGCAACGTTGTGATCCCAGCAACCATACAATGCACAAGCTGCCAGGCAACCCTCTTGTAGGAAGTCCAGATATTTCGGGAGCCGTCAGGAATGTTGGAGGAGAGGGGTTGGTTCGGTAGGGATCGCTGTGCCGACGAATGTGAGCCTCCTCCACAGGGTCATTGAAGCCAAGCGAGTTCGGACTGGAGTTGTAGTAGGTTCGGAAACAAGACTGTTTGACCCTTCGAAGCAAATGTTGGGGTTGGACGAAGGGAGGACGACGCTAGCACATAGTCCTATCGCCGGTCTGAAGGACGGGAGGTCACCGGGGCTGGTAATTTGCAGAAGGGCACAAAGAAAAGAAAGGTAGAGAGGGAGAAAGAGGAGGAGTCAAGAGGGGAGAGAGAGTAGAGAGGAGAGGCCAAGCAGGCTGGGGTCGAGGGATTGAAGGTTGGGTTAGGTTAGTTAGTATGGAAGGTTCCAAGAACGACAGAGCTCTCCTGAACAAAGGGAGGAGCGGAATGCGTTTAGATCAGGACGCTGTGTCTTTGATGCTTCCCTCTTTTGTTTTGGCCGAACCTTGCCCTTCAACAGGAGTGAGCAGGAAAAAGTGAAAAAAGGAGACCAGGAGAAGAATCAACCGGCTCGTTGTGAAGGAGGAAGAAAAAAGAGACAGAGAGAGAAGAGAAAGTAAGAAGCGAATGGGAAATTTTGTGTTTTCGTTTTCCTCTGTTTGTAATTTGGTAATTAGTTGACAGTTTTTTTGCCCTCTTTTTTTCCTTTTTACTTACATCCGCAGATCCACCAGCTGGGGACTTTTTTTTTTATGAACTGCTACGTTCCCTGGGAGGGTCAAGGTCCGGTTCTGCTGCAACCAGGAGTTGGTACCTTCACTGCTGGTGACAAATGAGGCTGCTCCAAATTATCGTCCTTGATCCTGCCATCTAAATCCCCCGCCATTATTATAGTATTATAGGATTCTAGTATTCATCTAGTTCTTGGTCATCAGGTCCCCTCTCGAATCATCGTCAAAACTAACCAACTAAACCTGCCTCTCCTCCCGATCGTCCTCCACTTTTGGCTGGTGGAGCTTCGGGCCTTGGGTGAGATGAACTGGGACCGCTGCACACGACCGACACCTTGGCCTTCCCGCTGCGAAGGGGCAGCCTTCATGACGCACCGGATGGGTACCAAAAATGAATAGATTGTAACATGAGAAAATAACCTTTTTCTTCTCTTTTCTTCTTCCTTATGAAACAGAACATGCGGTGATTACCAGTATTCGTGCTTTGGTTGTTCTATCAAATTCCAATGGGTCTGGTTCCGGGGATGGTAAACTATCACACTACTTTTAGTAGTTACTGTGTACCTCGGATGGGATAGTCAGCTAGTAGTGACTTAATTGAAGTACTAGGGAAGGTATACTCCGTTCGAGACTGTATTGTATAAGATGGAGAATAATAGATAGTGATCCACAAATCAAACGATGCTATACTTATTATCTTACCGTCAATGCCGGAGAAACGCATACGAGGTCACCAGCATCATCTTGAAATATCAACGAATGGAGACGACGGGAAGAGACTGGTCCTTTCAGCGCGAGATTATACCACCGAACGTATCCATAATAATCCATGACTAGTGAACCGCGCTCCAAGGCACCAGTGGGCGGTCCCAAGAACAAGGAACAGCGGTCCATTTCCGTGGGTCATCTATCACCGTCTCCAGCGTGATCGGTTGGTCAAGTTACTGGTGCTGACGCCGGGCTCTGGACCTGCATCCGTCTTCGATTGTTTCCCTCCCCGTATCTTATGGCTTGTTCATTATTCCTCGGGTGGCCGTCGAATAGACTTCCCACATTGCTGGAGAGGGTGACCGATATGTCAACATTCACAAGTGATAGATATCGAGGGTTCTGGTTTCACTTTGATCCCAGGATTGTGACCGCCCGTCTCGACCGTTCTCTAAACCACCGATGTATGTAGATCGATTCATACCGGTCAACACTTACTCCATATTTGCTCCATACTGTACTGACTGGAGTAGGAATCAACCCGGACAAGGTTTGAATGTGAGCAGGTCAACCTCCCTTCCCTTACGAAAGCGTCGATCGAGGCCGGATTGGGCGACGGGAGATTGAGCCTTGCGACCACCGCCAACACTAACGACCCTCGGACGCCCTGGGGTTTCTGGTCCTTCATCCCCCCGACTCCGGCCACGACCACCACTAGAACTAACCACTAATAGTCAATCCACTGGGGCCTCTTTTCAGCTCCAGCCTCGATCTCATCCCACGTCTTGCAAAGTGTGTTCTCTCTCTGTGTGTGCCCGGAATATTAATAGCTCCCCGTAATTACGATCTCCTGAGCCTGGGACCGACCCCAATGACGACATTCGAAGCTTTGCCAATCTCCTCAATTCAGCTCCGTGTCTTCTCCGGCATAATCCCTGGTCTCCTTTCCTTTCCCAAGCTAGCTGTCTGGGAGCTATGTCGACGCTATTTGCACCCGCTGCAGCTATCCATGCTTCAAACTTCGGGACAGGCGAGGTGACAGAAAACGTAGGCAAATACCAAATCGGGCTCGTCTCCAGAAACCGTTGGATTTAAGACTCGACTAATCCCAAGTTATTTTCCTCCCAATTCCCACACACAACCGGTCAGACTTGTCTGATCTAGTCCACTTTTGGGGGAGCATATGTTTCAGCCCGCGAGGGAAGTATCTTCACTCATGGATGCTACTAGATACTAGTAGAGTAAGTGGTAGCTAGGATGGAGACTGGGCAGGGCAAAAGGTAGGATGAGCTTCCGTCCCCGAGAGTAATATTACCCGTTTAAGGAGATTCACCGCGACCCGCCCGGTGGTTCATTGGGCCACGAAAAGAGGGGACGTGAGGCGACCCAACTCGAGTCTAGACTGCTTAGACTAGATACTATCTACGATTCTACTATCTATCTTCTCTCCTGGACGGAGGATTCTGATGCTTGCCGCAACTCGTTTAGCAAGTAGAAAAAGAGATCAATGCTTTCAGTCTCTCGCGATCATTATTGGTCGAGCACTATTGGAAAGGGGAGAGCCTATGGCAGGGGCGGAATTCTCCCCGATCGGCTAAACTAAAGTACTGCTACTTACACTCCAGACTCCAATGGGTAATGCCGTCCACTACTTCCGAACCCAGATTGAGTTGTTGCGTAGTTACATACTTACTCCGTCCCGAACTCATTATTCAACGTTATTGTATTCTGTTTTTGTTCCTTTCTCTCTCCCCTGGGAGCACTGATCTACTGTGCCGATGTTAACCCAGCCGACTGAGATGGAAGCCGTTTCCGATAGGCTCCCAAGCACCCACCAACGATGATTTGCACTCTGAGTCCCTCCCCCTTAACAAGTGAGCAAGCAACCATCCTCAGGCCACCGGTGCTGAACCAGTAAGAGCTGCTGCACGCGAGCGACGGGACCTGCAGCAGTAGTTAGACGCCCTGCGGTGTAACCCGCAGTAGTGTCTTCCCCCCTCCCTCCATTGAGCAGCAATGATTTCAGTTTTCGAGGAAGCCCCTGACATGATGGTTGATGCAGCGCCGGCTTAGTGTCCTGCCAGCCTGGCCATCTCGCAGCTCGTCAGGCACACCTTGGCTGGATTAAGGTTGGAGACATCAGTAAGGAGCAGCACTGTCCAAGGTGAGATTTGGCTCACCCTTCCTCTAATTCTAAAAAGTTTTCTGCTTTGTTTGCACCCTGTGCACGAAATCGCTAGACACAGAGCCGGGATTCTTATATTTCGTGCATTTGAGGTGAGATCTGAGTGCACATGGCTCTGATGACTGCATACCTGGGCTGCACCATGATCTATCTATAACAGCTTTTGCCTCTTCACGATGTGTAAGATCCGGGCCGTGGGCGGATGACCTGACTGGTATGCCGGCGGAGCATAATCATCGATTAATATCTGCGGATCAGATGCACATAATGTGCAGCTTCATACACCGACAGTGAAAGTGGCAAATATTGTACGGATATTGCCGTTTACATGTAGGATTGTTACCATGGGGATACGGGCTTTGAGCGGGTGCTTTGCAGGAGTCAGTGCGATCGATCCTACAGGAGATTCGTAAGGCTATGCAGCGGATGCATAAGCAGAAGGACTGATGATAGTTTATTAGATGCTTTCAGTATACATAGTTAGTGATGACTGGTGACTTGTTCGTGCGGAGTAGTCCACCCAGTTTCGGTAAAAAGGACAATTTGTGACTTTCGCTCATGGTCAGTATGGCATGTTATTTCTAGATCTTCCGTTCTACGTCCATAAAGTACATGTTCTGCTAATAATAAGACGGTCATTCCCATAATCAGTGGAGCTAAAGAGGAGCTCTAACTGATCGAGCTATTCTTGTACACTATATATAGAGTATATCTTTCCAAACCACGGGGACCTGGAATAATACACTCGACTATGGAGTACTTGAAATCTAATTATAATTGATTCCTGAAACTGCAGGCTCTATCATACGCCACACACACACCAGCCACAACCCCGCCAAGATCCACCGCCCGCCGAGAAGAGGAAAGAGTGGATTCATCCATCCAATCCACCCATTCGTGCTGTGTCAAATCACTCTTTGGCCATTGGGCATCAGTATCCTGCCTTTCTTTCAGCCATAACCACAATCATTTGCAATCATTTGTTACAAGGCATAGCCAACTCAGTCCGCATCGACTGTTGAATATAAAGAGAAGGACAGTTAGGCCGTCGTTCTTTGACTATGAATGAGCGTTCCTTTCACTATCCCGACCCATAAGAGTTACCACCTGCAAGCACCTTTCGAGTTCTTTTCCCCCTTTCCACGCCTCACCGTTGTTCCATACCAGCAGAGAAGCAGTAGCTTTAGTGCAGCATCAGATTCCAAGTATACAATAAGAAGCACATTTGGATCGTGTCTTGCCTAGTCCTTACTCAGCCTCTTATCTGAATGGCCTCTCTCTCCCTTCAAAAAGATCGGAGATAATGTCGCCGCGCACGCCAGGGAAAGCCTCCCGCCCAGGGGCCGCCAGAAGGCGGCGTGGGAGACGGAAGTTAACCCCGAGATCGCCCCTGTCTCTCCTGGCCCAGACTCGCAAAAATAGCGTCGTGAAGAAACGTGATCGCGGCGACGTGGTCAGCAGCACCAAGACTAAACTTACGGAGCGCAGGAGTAAACCAGGGAGATCATCCAGACTGAATCTCCTTCCACTGTCGACCGAGCCAAGAGAAAAGGTGAGTGATGACAAAAACCGAGAGACCTGCTTCGGGTTTCTCTTCTGCCCTTGATAGTTATCAGTGGTTGTCGGTGTTGTAGCAGGGATCCCGATCACCCAGCCTTGATCCTTGCATTGCCTGCATATCCTAGCGCCAACTCGGGATACCAATCACTACATACATACTGACACCCGACCCGTGAACAGAACTGTTTTAGACGGGATGCGTCCCCTGCAAACTACCGATTCGTCCCCAAGGGCGACCTCTACATTACTCGCAATTGCCGAAAACTGACAAAGGAGTCTGGCCGGATTGTCTACGTGGTTTATGTGAGGATACAAACCCAAATCATTCCAGTATTAGCAACTTCTTTGTATCCAGTCCCTAACCCCTTCACAGGACGATAGAGGCAAGAACACTCTTGGCCTACGTGTTCCAGTCGATATTCACGAAGCTGTCCTCCGATTAGCGGACGAAACGGCTCACTCTCGCGCTCAAGCTATTCAAGTACGTGACGAGAAAGATTCGGCGCAAGCCCGTCAGCTCTTACGTGCCCAGTTTCCCTTGATGCCTGATGAGTCACTGGACACTATCTTAGAACATGCCTTTCTCAAGGGCTCTGGCCGCGTGGGCCGGACATCCAGGTTATCAGATGAAGACAAAGCCAAGTTGGCCGTAGAGGCTCACATCAGACACACCCATACCAGCTACGAAGCACTCCTGAAGGCTGGGAAGACGCGCGGTGAAGCTCGTCAAGCGTCTAAGGAGATGGTTCAGGCGATCAGGACCGCATGGGCAGGTGGCAATGTAGAGCCAACGGATTGCTTGACTATGCGCGATCGAGTGATTGTGATTGATTAAACCCTTGTTGGCGGGTCAACCGACACAACAACGTTCAAACGAAAGCGATGCCCTATTACTGTTCATTTCTGGTATGTTGGAGACAGTACACAGATTGCATAAGGGTTAACATTACATATGTGTGAGGTCGCAACACCTCCACGATTACGGCGTTTTGCTCTTTTTACTTTGGCATTGATGCACAGCGTGATGACTACGAAGCATTCATGATTAGATTAAGCATAGAGCTTAGACACTCACGTTAATATTGAATCTGTTCTTCAAATGTCCTTCCTATCAGAAGATCGGTTGCATACCTCAAACAACAAGAGATAGAGACAGAGGAAGCGAAGAGAAGAAGAAAAGCCCACACCATCAATCATCCCCTCCCCCCCTCCTCCCAAACCCTCAACCCCCTCGACCTCCACCCAACAATCGGCTCTCCAGGCTCATAAAAGAAAATCTCCAACCTACCACCCCTTCTATACGGAAAAAACCTCTCCTCCCTAACCCCGCCCTCCAACTCCAAAAACACACCATCCAATTCCTCCAACAAATCCCGAAATATCTCCTCCGCTGTATCCCCCCTCGACGCAAACTTACACAGCACATGGTACTTTTTCTGATTTATCGCCTTATTGGCAAACTTCCCCGTCCGGAGACTACGTCTCAGATGCTGCTTGGCTGATTTCAATATGGCGAAGATGCAGTGCGGGTGGTGTCTGTCGATGGGGGTGTGGGCGAGAGTATCGCAGTCGGGCATGTTGGCGAGGAGCGTGTCGAGGGAGAATTCGATCGTTATGAGGATGAGGTTGTCCAGCGGCGTGTAGAAGAGTTTCTTGTAGTATTCGAAGGTTATGCCGGATTCTTTGAGGCGGAGGCGCCGGGCGAGGATGGGGTCGGGATGTTGGGTGACGGGGATGGAGGGGGGAAGCGAGATTGGGTAGAATGGGTAGAGGTGACGGTCGAGGGTCGGCCAGTGGCTCATGTCTAGGTGTGGCCAGAGGTCGCGGAGGAGGGTTGGGTAGAGGAGGGTGTCCATGATTCATTCCTTGTCCTGCTGAGCAGGGGGGCTGAGATCTGGGGGTGAGGTCCCTGAGATTGAGGGGATGAGTAGTGGTAGGATGTGGTTCATAGGGGATTTATGGGAAGAGTGGTACTAGGTTGGTGCTCATGATGGGAATGGGAACTGGAGATATGCCTCTGTTATTGCTGCGGGATTCTCCAGTATGGGGCGTAGGAAGGCTCAGATCTACAAGGGTGGCTGCTCAAGGGCCAGTGCTGCCTGTTGGATACTAGAGTACTTAGCCAATAATGGTTCTCATCTTCGTCTCCTGTACGTAAAATCATTCATCTGGTCGAGCTTGATCGGCATCTGCCATAATCTTTTGCTTGACGGTACGCCAGCTACCAAGAGTGAATGGGTCTAGAACATCCTTTCCAGGATTTCGAGGTAAAGCTGTCATGCTTAGGCTCCCCGTCATTATTAGTGGTCAGACTTGAAGTTTCAGTTAGCATGCAACAACGCCTACAGTGTCCCTTTGCTTCTGAAAATCTCCAATATCAGTCTGGACTCTGGCAATACTCGCAGGACAAGAGACGTAGGAAACCTGTGGTATGTAGTAGTAGAGTCAAATCTATAGCGCGTGTCGGTCTATAGAGCCGAGTGACGGACTCAGTCCTTTCATTTTCTGATATACTGTGTATACCTATAGGAACGATACTTTCACATGTTATATCATCTTCATACGTAGAGGCGTAAGAGCCGGATTTCTACTGATATACCCTCATCCTTGCAGATTTAGCCACTGAGGTGGAAGTACATACCAGTTTCACAGGAAAGACGTCCAAGGCCTGCGAGAACCCTTCATCTACTTGATATAGAGAACGCTAGGGGAGGTAGTATCTCAGAATACCCCATATATCTCCTCAGTTCACTGCTCATGCTCCGTACCCCAGACCCTCCACCGTAGTCAAGTTGTGACCACGCACTCCTTGTATAAAAACGGACCAGGCCGCCCTCTCGTCGAAATCTCTTCAGAGTGTACCACTACCTGATCACCTGAGAAAAGGACAAAGAAGAAAAAAAGAATTGTAAAGCCCCTGGTGGGGATCGAACCCACAGCCTTAAGATCTCATTCTAGTAGCTGCAAAGATGGTTAGTAAGGTGGTTGGGTGCAAAGGCGTGGTCGGGGTACTTGCAAGTCTTACGCGCTACCGATTGCGCCACAAGGGCTACTTGTGAATCTGCGGCATAGCAAGATTGACATCAATATGCCCATGTAAATTGATGATGATGTATCCTCAATTCCCTTGGGCGTCTGCGAGGATGCAGGTCTCCTTCGATACGGATGTTACGCGACCAAAAGATAGTAACACAAGGCTACTCCCATGGCAGAAAACCTGCTTTTGTAATTTGTGAAGAACCAGATCTGGGGGATCGAAAGGTTCTACTTCCAATCAGCGCGAGAGGCAATAGACAGAGGCTGAGTGGTTGGAACAATTAGTACAATATATACGTAAATGAGCAAATTGAAAATAGGTAAGTGAAGGATGATTCCATTAATCTGTGTGCATAATACCATTTTTATTTTCCAAAATTGTAGAAGAATATTCAATGAAGGTATGTTCAGTACTATACATCAGATCATGTAAACAGACTTCCTCATTCGATAACACTAGGGCTAGCCCCACTCTAGCCCAATGCGGAGCAGCAAAAACGTGACGGTAACTTTTCCAGGCTGGAGCCGTCCATGACTTCAGGTGCTGCAACTACTACAATTCAACCTCACTGCCACCGTTACTATGGAAGGTGCCGATATTATTGAGTCGCCGCGCAAGCGGCTCAAGACCGATAACAACTCCGTTACCGATGATGCTGCGCTTCCTTCCTCCAACGAGGCAATTGCGCAATCGGACGCCGCTAAACTCTCCGCGGAGGAGGCGAGAGAACTCGAGGTCGGAATCACCGAGTTTGTCAGCGGCGATAATGAAGGGTTCTACGGTATCCTAAAGAAAAGGTATTAATCCCCTCTGAGTACTGTAATCATGCAGGCGCTTACCGACCTCTTTAACTAGATATACCGACTTCCTTGTCAACGAGATCGTACCGTCCGGCGAAGTCCTGCATCTTCACAACATTCCCACCCCGGAAGCAGAACAGGAGAAGGCTAAGCCCGCGGATACTCCCACGCCCAAACCCGCAGAAAATGATCAACAGGCAAAGCCAGAAGGCTCCGCAGAGAAGGATGCTGCGCCAAGTGCAGAGAGCACGCCGGACTTCCAGATCCCAGAGGAAGACATGGCGCTCCTTGACTCCCTGTTCGGCGAAGAATCTACCAAGAAAATTGTATCGCTGAACAAACGTGCCATTCTCAATCCCAAATCGAAACCGAGCGACCTACCCAAGATTCCCACTCTTCTTGTCGATGACCGCGACCTGCGCATCAAGATGCACCAGGCCATCCGTCGCATCTTCAAATCGCAGCTCGAGTCTCAAACCGACAGCGAAGGGATGATGGTTATTTCTGCTGCGCCAAATCGGAACAACCGTAGTGCGCAGGGCGGGCGTAACAATGCGCGCCCCCGTGTGCCGGTCAACTGGGATGAGCTGGGTGGTCCCTATCTGCACTTCACTCTGTACAAGGAGAATAAGGATACTATGGAAGTTCTCTCGTTCATCTCGCGGCAGTTGAAGATTAACACGAAGAACTTCCAATTCGCTGGAACCAAGGACCGCCGCGGTGTTACTGTTCAGAGGGCCTGTGCGCATCGTTTACATGCTGAGCGCCTCACAAAGATCAACCCTACACTTCGCAACGCTGCTCTCGGCGATTTTGAGTATTGCAAACATGGCCTTGACCTGGGAGATCTGAATGGCAACGAATTCGTTATCAGTCTCCGTGAGTGCGATATTCCAGGTGTCGACTTGAGCAACCGTGAAACAGCTGTTGCAAAGGCAAAGGAGGTCGTGGGCACAGCACTACGGAATCTCCGCGAGCGCGGTTACTTCAACTACTTCGGTCTGCAACGTTTTGGAACCTTTGCTACCCGTACAGACACGGTCGGTGTCAAGATGCTCCAGGGCGACTTCAAGGGCGCTTGCGATGCCATCCTCCAGTACAGCCCTCATGCTCTAGCTGCTGCTCAGGAGGGCGAGAACTCGACGGCCTTGGTCAGCTCCGATGACAAGGCCCGCGCAGAAGCTATCCACATTTTTGAAACGACCGGAAACGCCAACAAGGCTCTTGAGAAGCTGCCTCGAAAATTCGCGGCAGAATCCACCGTCATGCGTCAACTCAGCCGTGCTCAGAACGACTACCTTGGTGCGCTCCAAGCTATCCCTCGTAACCTGCGGTTGATGTATGTCCACGCGTACCAGTCCTTGGTCTGGAACTTTGCCGCCGGTGAGCGCTGGCGCCTGTACGGCGACAAGGTCGTGGAGGGTGATCTCGTGCTGGTGCACGAGCACAGCGACAAGGATGACACGGCAGCTGCCGCCGCCGCGGGCGAGGTTGACGCCGATGGCGAAGTCATCATCACCCCGCAGGCGGGAGACAGCGCTTACGTCTCTGAAGGCATAACCCGTGCGCGCGCCTTGACTGCCGAGGAGGCAGCTAGCGGCAAGTACAGCATCTTCGATGTCGTTCTGACTCAGCCCGGCTACGATGTCCTCTACCCGCCCAACAAGATGACGGACTTCTACAAACAGTTCATGGGCAGCGCTCAGGGTGGCGGTCTCGACCCCTTCGACATGCGTCGCAAGTGGAGGGAGGTTAGTCTCACTGGTAGCTATCGCAAGCTGCTCAACCGCCCGGGACCCGACTTCTCCTTCGACGTGCATGTGTATACTCAGGACGATGAGCAGTTTGTGCAGACTGACTTGGAAAAGCTCCAAGGCAAGAAAACTGAGACTGAGACTTCCGGTGAAGCGACGCCTTCCTCCAACGCTCAGGAGAAGCTCGCCATTGTGCTCAAGTTCCAGCTCGGTTCGAGTCAGTATGCCACCATGGCTCTGAGGGAGCTGTCCAAGGGTAAGGTCAAGGCCTACCAGCCCGATTTCGGCAAGGGTCGGTAGACGATGGGTGTATATATAGTACAAGCTACATTTTTGTATATACTGGGTATAGATTGACTTGCAACATGATTGAACGCTACGTGATAAAGCCCATATTGTCATCGTCCATTGTAGTAAGTTTTAAGTAGTATAGTAGATTTTGATATCTGTTCTATCCAAAATCTAAGCATGATCTGTACCGCATCTGAGAAGAGGAGTGGTAGTAGGATGCGGGGAAAGTGATAACCAGTGCCCACTGCACTCCTCGGGCTGACGTGAGGTAAGATGAGTGTCAAACTCGGAAATATTCTGATCTGACTGGCATATCGTAGTACTATCATCGCTCGACCCTTGCAAATATCCATTTATACCTCTTTCAAAATATAGGACGATCGGCTTGATTAATAGTAAAACAGTGTGCCAATGAGCAAGTCCAGCGTCTGCAAGACAGTCACTTCACGGTTTTTAGCTGTGCCACGCGGCTTGAATTGGATTCCCCGGCCTTAGTCCAATATTCTGGTCAGGCTAAGCAGGAGTTTTAAATCACCTGTGCCTTTCCCTATCTTGATAAGTCTCATCTTATGCATTGTGAACCCACCGATAAATAGGGCTAGAATACTTGAACGACAGGCCTCATTTCTTCCGCTGCTTTTCCCTTGCCCTTTTCCTCCCCGGTTGCCTTCCATACCATAACATGTCCACCCAGTCCCCATCACCTCATATAGGGGTTATTGTGAATCCATCTGCGCGCCGTGCTGCCTGCGACCAGTGTCACGCCCAAAAGCTGCGTTGTACCAAGCTGGAAGACTGCACGGTGTGCGTTCGATGCCAGCGTCTGAACCGGCAATGCATTTGGAGTCCTCCATCGCGGAGTGGTCGTCCAGTAAGGACTACTGCCAAGGAAACGCTGATGAGGCGTTCTGGTCGCTCTGAACTTAATACGCGGGAGAAGCGTCGCAAACGATCGTCTAATATTCTAGACAGGACACCAGAAGAGAGCGGTCACCCGGACGGTGCGCGAGAGCATGTTCACTCCAGAGCTGGCAATATTGTCGCTCCCCCCCCTCCTCCTCCTCCTCCTCCTCCTCCTCCTCCTCCTCCTCCTCCTCCTCCTCCTTTCGAAATAGCAGAGGTACCGCCGTCATCAAGGCCTCCATCCATTGAAGAATGGAACATGTCCGATATTTTCACCTTTCCAAGCCCGCGTGATAGCTCACGGGAGAATCTCTTCCCCCCTTGGTGGGTATCAGATAGCGTTGTTCCTTCGATTCCC